TGGCATATCCAGCTATTGTGTTCGGTTCCCGGGGAAGATTGGATAAAGTCACACGGCATAATCTCAAGTCCGACCCCATCTACGCCATATAGTGTTATTATGGACTAAAAGGATTCCAAGCGACTTTACAATGGCAAATTTGCATTTGTTATTTGCCTTTAACCTTTCCCATTTCAATCCAAACCTTTCAGCCTTTGTCAAAGCCGAATGTACCGAGGTGAACTTTTCAGCTCTCGAGGTACATGGATGTGGTGTCACGAATCGAGGAAATATATTGCAAGTCAGCTCTAAAAGGTAGGTAGTACTTACTTGGAGTCCGATGTTGGAATCCGAACCAAAAGGATGTCTCACCAAATCAACAAGTAAGTGGGGAGAAAGGAAAAGAAAAGAATAAGAGAGAACGTGTAGATCAACCGATCGTCCATCTTCCCCCCGTTTTTAAATGTAAGTGGAGCCAATGGAGTGGTCAATGAATCAAGATCTAAAGTCCAAAAGACCTAGAAGACCCTAAATTTAAGAAAAGAAAAAAAAAAGGAATGTACAACATACTACAACATAGATACACTTTGTAGAAAACACTTTAATATAATGTAAATTCATTGGAATGAGTTTATAGTCAGGTGCTGCGGAGGTTATGTACTCTCTCACCTCCCTCATCTGCTCTCCGCCCGCTAAACTCCATTCTTCTCGTCTCTTCCTTTCTTCTCCCAAAACTTCACTCATATGACGCTCATTTGGACTCGGTAGTATCCGAATGTCTAGCACGCTGCTAGCTCTTTGTCTCCATTCCTCTTTCCCCGCTTCGATGACCCGTTCCTCCTCGCTATCCAACGTGGTTGACACTGCCCCCTCCTCTTAAGCTTCCATTCGGGCTTCGTCTTTGACGTCTTTTGGTTCCTGTACAACTGGCTTCCCATGCAGGTGCGTCGGTCTACCCGGTTCCTGTTCCTTGGTTCACGTGGACGTGACTTTTCTTTTGTCGAGAACCAACCCCCCTCCCCCTCCCCCTTCAACCTCGAACCCCTCAGGCACCACCACATTCTTATGGAATTGGACCCCTTCCCATGGAATTTGAGAATAGGAACTCGACTTCAAACTGTCACATTGTTGATTCTAATCATATTTCGTACGCGTTCAGGCTTCCACGAGTGCCCACGAGGCAGGCGGGCATGCGACGCGGAGAGGTCACGCCGCCCATCTATCGATTAGTGATCCAAGCCACCATGTGACAGAAGCTATCGGACACATGTACAACGACGATTACGATCGTAATGATCCGAGACGTCTGAGTTATATAACAACGCCCCTCGGCGAGTCAATAACAATCATTCCCCACGCCGCCGATGGATCCGAGTCCTCTCTTTCTCCGTCCTCGCCACTGCATCAATCTTCATCAGATGTGCAAACGATACAGACAAATGGAAACCCACGACCGCCGCTGGTTGCACATCGGTCCTTTGAGGTGGGAAGTGATCCGGGGAATGCCGATGGTGCTCGATTGCCCTCGGACACTGCAACGTCCTCTTTTCCTCTCAACGATATCGACTACGAATCGAACCCTGCAGCCGTTGCTCAGGAACTGACAAATCTCGCTGCGATTCGGCGCATGTCGATGGATGTGGCCGCCGCCGGTGACCCTGACCTCCCAGGCTTCGCACAACCCCCTTCGCCCTCAGCCGACGAAAATGACGCCTCCCGGTTATTCTGGGTTCCTGCGCGACTGCACCCCGAACTGGCTCCGAAAGAATTCAAGTCTTTTCTCGATACCAAGGCCGACCATATCAAGCGCAGATCCGGCGACTATTCGACTCCAGGTTCCGAACGCCAAGGGTCGGGAGGTGGTCTCAATCGCAAACGCTCTATGTTGTCGAGACAAATCGACAATTCGTCGGGTTATACAGATGGTGCGGATCGGTTGGAACGTCAACGCTCTCAATCAAGTAGGCGAGATGCCATGTTGAGCCCCAACTTGCAACAGTTGGAAACCTTGGTGGATGATTCGAACCCGCTGAACAAAGAATCACTCATGCGTGGCATGCAGAATATCGACCTCGCAGGAAACGAGGACATGCCGATCCTCCCACCCGCACCTCCGGGAAACAGCCTACGACGGTCAACCCGGACACAATATAAGAAAGCTGGAAGTTTGAAAAATGGCGAAAAGTTGCCCTACCCTAAACGAGTTGGACGGGGGGCATCTGAATCTGCAGGGAGTGATACAAGAACTGCGGTCGTTCCATCTCAAGATCCCACAATCCCGGGACTCGCCGGTGTCTCCACTGAACCTTCTCTCAAAACGACGCGAGCGGCTCGAGCCCCCTCTGCGTCATCGCATGGCTCGGCTTATTCCCCAAGTTCACCCGTGAGTTCGACATTCGATTCAATTGTCGATCAGCCTGAGGCCGAGCAGGAAGGCTTGTCCACCTCTGCTGGGCGACCGGACGCTGCTCTGGATCGATTCGATTCAGGAGATACGACCAATGAACGGAAGTGGCATTCTCGTATCAGCTCGAATGGCCGATCGACCGTGAACGTAGCCCCAGGCGAGCAGAAGATACCTGCAATAATTGAAACACCTCCCGCCACTGAATCAAGCCGCATACCAAGTCCGCCTTCACCAAGTAGGCGGTCACCGGATCGTGCTGTGGCATCTAAACCGTCACCGAAACCCACGTCTTCGCATGATCCGGCACCGAAACGTCCCAAGAATACTCGCCAAACTCCCCACGAACCCGCATCTTCACTCAATGACTTTGCCAGTAACCCTCAGATGATACCTGGGAACAGTACCCGCACCGACAGTCTTTCATTCATCCCTACTATCTCAGAAGAACGCAAACCTGAAGAACGGAAACACGAGAGCAAGAAATCAAAAGAGAAGAAGGACTCTGATGGTAGCCGCAAGTCTAGTTGGCACTGGTTGCTGGGCAGCGAAGAAAAAGACAAGAAGAAGGACAAGGACAACGACTCGAAGAAAACTAAATCAAAGATTGTCGACAAAACTCATGACAACACACGTCTAGACGTTTTACAGTCATCTATAGAGAGCACTCCGCGGAGACGCGAAAGCCTTGTTTTGGACCGCCTTGATCCGAAGCTCGAAGAAGAACGACGCAAAGACGGCGTGAGGAGGGCATCGGGAGACTCAAAGAAAGAAAAGGATGGCATTTTCTCTTCTATTTTTGGTGGTGGACGGAAGAAGCACAGCAGTGAAGGTCACCACCGAAAGCATTCGTCACGAAACCTTTCTCCTGAACCCCCAATACGAGTACTTCGCGCCGATGTCGATTATGCGTGGTCTCGCTTCTCGATTTTGGAGGAGCGAGCTATTTACCGGATGGCGCATATCAAGCTTGCGAATCCCCGGCGAGCTCTGTACTCTCAAGTATTGCTGAGCAACTTCATGTATTCATACCTAGCCAAGGTACAACAGATGCACCCGCAGATGGCAGTTGCTTCGTCTGGATCATCCCAGAGATCATCAAAATCACGAGATCAGCCAGATCAATATCAGCAATATCAGCGATATCAACAGGTAAACGAAGATTCTTCTTATCCTGGGGGTGAGCAAGATCACTAACAGACTCACAGTCTCAGGAGCAACAACACTACGGAGAAAGTGCCTATGACGAATCTTCCATGTATGACTATGATGACGATCCGCATGATCGCTACGGTAGCCATTCGAGAAGCGACAAGCAGGGCTATGAAAATGGTCAGGCTTACGGCCCAGGCCACCAACAGCAGGGACACTCGTCCTTTGGCGACGACGTTCAACTCGATGACGACGATGACGATGATATGTGGTGAATCTGAGGCTGGCATCCTCACTCGTTTCATTTCTATTTATCCTCCTACACTTCCGCTTTCTCGTTTTTAGCAGCGCACGGAAATACCCATGCTTTTTGTCAGTTCAGGACGTTCCTAGAACCTGTACACTCAAGCCGCGTCCTCCCATTTTCATGCATTACCCATATCCTTTCAATTGTTTCTTCATAATTCCCCGTGTACCAATTCTCAAAGGGCACTCGTATTATTACGCACACATTGGCATCTAGCACCAGGGAAGGTGAAATGCAGCTTTGGCAGGGTGTTTCCTGTTTGTTTGATTCCTGCGTCTTTTTTTTTTTTTTTTTTTTTTTTGGCTCGGTATCATCTGGCACTATAGAGTGCAGTGTATTCAGCCCAACGCGTGGGTCGGTTGTTGTGTTTGGGCAAAAGCCCTGATTTATCTCTTCGCATAGCGTCTGGGGTTTTCTTTTCCTCTTCTCCCCCTACCTGGTACACCGCGATCCTATTCCTTGTCTGTATTTCATTGTTTTTTCCAATGCTTAACATTCCCACCCAAATGAATCAACGAATGAATCACGGACTCGCTGATGTCTTGTATCAACTCCTCATCTTTTTGAACTTCAAAGCCTTTTTCAAACATAATCTTGGTTCATACATGGACCTATGTATGTATACTATCAAGATTACTTTGACATCTGGGTTTATATTTACAGCACCACTGTTAGGGTTCACTGGTACATATAACGTTGGGAACCAACTCGGTCAGCTGTTGCTATGGGTATAAATGGAATACTACACATATGATTGACTGCATATGTATTCATAGCGAAAGCCGTCAAAATCAGTCGTCATTATACCGGCCCTCTAACCCGCTTCTAATGGGAAGTCGTGCACCTATCTATTGATGCATCACTGACTCCTACAACCTCTGGAGGTCCAAATCCTCCTAGCGGTGGACGTGGCCCTATATCTCATGAACTAGCTGGGCTTGAAAAACAAGAAAGGAGAGAAGTGCAGGCAAGAAGATTACATATATTCATCTAACTCAGAGGATCCTTCGTGACAAAATTTGCACCCGAAGATCCTCATTCTTATAGGAGTAAAGTACCTTGCTTTTAATCATTATGCCTATTTAATCTCTTAAACCCAATGCAAACTCTCTTATTTGCCACTTTCTATACTTTGTATATATTTCGAACATACATTCATCATGGAAGCGGCTCTCGAACGGCAGGGACATACTACATTTATTAGCATTGACCCACAAAAACGAAAGACTCTACTAACAGGCAAAATCCGTGCTTTGCTCAAGTCCCACACTCCACTGGTGGCGTAAACATCTTTCTCAAGAATGGCGCGGACTTCTTCAGCATCATTGGCCGAGTACACGATTACACTACCCTTAAACAGGGCATCTTTGCCCTCCTTGGGATGTTTCTCAAAAATGGCACCTCCATCGACGAGCTTTCCAGCGGCCACTAATGGCTTGACTCCCTCGTAGTGGATTCTAGTTAATGTTAGCTATGCTCGACGCAACCTAGCTATCCAGAGAATGCTATGATAAACTAACCCTTTCACTTGTTTTCTAATGGCTAGGACATTTGGATTGTCGGGAAGGATGCAAAGGAATTCTTTTCTTCGTGCGGTTTCCATAGATCTTACCGCGGTAGTCGAAAAACTTGGCGAAAACCCAGAAAAGCAAGCTGAAAATGCAGTTGTCTTTGTTCGAAGACAACGGTATGAGAACATTATGAATAGTCTTTTGATGCTTGGGATATAGGCAAATGATTAGTGGTAGAAGTTATCTTGGTTGGCATCGTTGACCAAAGATATAGTTACATCTCAAAAGTCGGATGGATGCACCGAACTAATTGGAGGATTGGAGTCGGGACTAGAATCCGACGTTCGCTATGAGCCCCCGAGAAGGCTTTCTGAGACCTATGAATACTATATCGCTATATCATATTCGTTTATTAGCCTACTGATTCAATGGCTTTCTCTACATATTACTCGTCACTTTTCATAAGCAATGTATCCCATCTGGTGATTATGTTGATGTTTCTTGACTGGCAAACTCCAATCAAGTTATCTCGACTGAATTAATAGGGTTACCAAAGAAATCAAATTCACATTAGATGTGGTGGCAATGGGACCTATATATAGTGTTTATATAGTTAGGCTAGCCGTTTATTTGGCTGTTGTTTACCCCGGGGGCCGTGGACATTATAGAGATAGTAATGAGCACTCGTTGGCAACTGTTTTGACGATTGAACTGTTGCAGACAAGTAACGTGGTGTTTGAAAACATGGTCTCGGTACTCGTAACACCAATTCTGTATTGTACCAGTTACAGGAATAAACAAGTTAGCGACACCAACCAAGGCACTCCGAGAAGCCAATAGAAGGTGTACTCTACATACAAACTACAACTCATACATAACCAGAAACCTTGAGATATACGTAGGGATATAGTGTAAGTGTATGTTCCGGTGACTTGTATGGACTATACCTATGTAATAGTCTGTAGATCATAAAAAAAGTAACCTCACTCGAATCCTAATATCCGGTCAGATTTAGGATGAGGCTTAGCCACACCATTTTAAAATCGTCTCCTGAACACGTGATCCACGTACACGTACCACTTCCTGCCTTTGTTACCCCACTCACGTGATAATTACACGTGACTAGCACATGGGTCTGTGATTGGTTCCCCCATCGTTACCCGCATCGATCTCTATCCGTATCTTATCGTGGAGCTATCAAGATCATCGCGAAAAAAAGCCACTTTTCACCTTCATCACTAGCGAACGTCCCTTACACTTGTCCAACCTTGCAGTCCTTCACAGGGAATGATACAAATACCTCCAATAACACTGCAGCTAAATTCATGATCACAGCCATGGGAGACTGTGGCGATGAGCTCTTCAAGGTATGTCATGTCCCACTGATTCTCACACAGAGTTTACGCATAGCTCGTTGCGGTACCACTCGCTTGTCATGCTTTTCTCTGATGTCTGTTTCTTTATGCAGGAGCTTGAAAGCACCTACTGTCCACCAATTGATCCTGCGTTGTTTGTTGCGATCGTATCAGACTTTGACCTGGCGATCCCCACTCAGGTCGAACAGTTACGCGAAACCCTGGACGTGTTGAATGCGTCTGCTGTTGAGCAAGAAAACTTGCCATTTGACCCCACAGGCACAACCAACCTCCGAAATTCCGATTTCTCAGGCTCTGCGGTTGGCGAATCGTCTAACGGTGCACCCTCAGAATTTACAAGCTGGCCATCGCTTGAACATCCTGAACACAGTGATGGCGACTCCAACGTCGCCAATCACGACGCCGAAAAGCTCAAAGGCTCGAGGCTTGCGTACACCTTTCTGGGTATGACAACTGCTGATAAGGCACAGAACTTGATTAGCATGTTCCCGACTATTACTCGCCTGGAAGCTGAGCGCATCCTCGAGGATTGTCATGACAATCTTAGTCGCTCAATGGATGTCTTACTCAATCTTGCTTTCATTGAAGAGACACAAATCGCGAGAGAAATCCCTCAACACACACCCAAGGAGGTTGCTCAAGACAGTCAGTCCTCCATTCCCAAGTCAATTGATGGCTTCCAGGCGAAGGACAACCAGAATGGCGGCGGCAAGAAATCCCGAAAAAATAAAAAGCAGAAACAACGTCGAGTCGACCTGGCCTCCCAGGCCATGGACAGTACCGCTACCAATAAATGGGAGTCAGGAAAGAAGGATATCGAATTTCTTTCCGCGCGGGCCTGCGCTTTGCAGAGGGAGAAAATCGCGTCAACTTATCATGAAAATTCCATGTCACTTTGTGCAACAATCAGAGTCTTGGCACAGGCTCGTGCGCCCAAGGACATCCATGAGATTGAAGACGACCCCGTACTCGTCACGCAAGTGGGGGAACTCAGTCACAAGTACCCTGGTATCAATCCCATCACTCTAACTGGCTTGATTCGGGTTGCAAACAATGAGATCCCAGCCGCGGATGAACTCGCTGACACCCTGGCCCGTCGCCCTAATCTCACTTCCGTTTCAAATATCATCAGTTTCGTGTCGTCCCCGGTCACCCTCGACGACGAAGAGGAGAATGTGCCCCCGGCTCTGCAGACAGAGAGTGCTTCGGATTTCATGGATTTCAGCGAAGCCGCTGCTGCTGCCAACTCTCACTTCGCAGCCCGATCAGCTGCCCTCGCCCAAGCATCCCAGTCCGCCCGCCGCGCCCGCTCAAACCCCCTCTATGGCGGCGCCTCTGCCTACTACCGGGACGTTGGTAATGAGCAACGCCAGCTTGCCATGCGCCATTTGGCGACAGCGTCTGACCGACTGGTGGCCCGCCAGTCGTCCCAATATGATCTGGATTTGCATGGCGTGACGGTCGCCAATGCCGTCAGAATCGCTCGCGAAAGGGTCCAGGCGTGGTGGGACGGACTGGGAGATCAGAAGTATGTTCGTGGCGGGGGACAGAGCTGCCATGGCGGGTTCAATATTGTGTGCGGTGTTGGTCACCACTCCCAAGACCGCAGGTCACATATTGGACCCGCCGTGTGGAATATGCTGCTGAAGGAGGGGTGGCGTGTGGAGCTCAATCGGGGCTCCATGTTGGTGACCGGCGTAACCCGCCGTTGAACTATCTTCTTTCTTTACTCTTCTTTACTTTTTATCATTTTTGTTCATATGTCACATTTTGCTGTTGAGATACCCCTGCACTGCTGGAGTTTGGGGTTGTTTTGAATTAACGAGCATTTTTCAAACAAAAAAAAACAATTGAGTTTGGAACACCGTAGCCCATGGAATATGTAGAGATTTATTCATGTTATAGATCTCTACCTATGTAGATATCAGTCTAGGCCTTAAAGAGTCCCCGAATCGGCCCTAGGGGTCTCCCCGCATGATGACGTAAACCTGAATCCAGGTGCCCATCTGGGATTAGCCTCACCCCACTTTCATCTGCTTCAGCTGCCAGTCACTCTTATTGTTTTCTCATTTTCCTATCAATCTCTGTCTCTATGCGATCCCAATTATCTCGAAATATTATTTCGCCCCTCAGACACCAAACTAGTCCTATCCGACCTAGCCCGACCTTTTGCTCCTCCCGATTTTTGTCCTCAACGCGCAAGCCTCCCCACTCGAAGACAAGCACCAAGGCTCTTAGAGCTGCGCCGACCATTCCTTTTTTTGGTGCCTTCTTCAGCTCTAACCGCAACCCTGAACAAAAAACCGACGTCATGTCGCCCCCCAACCAGAGAAGCGAAGATGAGTGGAGAGCTGTTTTGAACCCAGGTTTGTATACCATGGAGGCTTTTCACCTCCTAGACGATATGATTGATATTTGCTTACAATAATTGTTGCAGAACAATTCCGCATTCTTCGTGAAAAGGGTACTGAGCGCGCTGGTACCGGTGAATACGATTCCCACTACCCATCCACAGGAGTCTACAATTGCGCCGGTTGCGATGCGCCGCTTTACACTGCTGACCACAAGTTCAAATCTGGCTGTGGCTGGCCAGCATACTTTGATTCCATCCCTGGTGCTGTCACTAGACACGTTGATAACACATTTGGTATGAAGCGCACAGAGATCGTATGTACCAACTGTGGGGGTCATCTCGGCCATGTGTTTGAGGGTGAGGGGTATCAAACCCCCACGGATGAGCGTCATTGCGTGAATAGTGTCAGTCTGCGCTTTACAGAAGATGCTAGCGCTGCTAAGGATCCTAAGGCGAAAGCTTAAGGAAATTTCATGACATTCAATCATCATTTGTTTTGCGGGGACTAAGGCTGCAGAAAGGCCGACATGCATAATACGGGGAGAGGCGTCGTTGAAGTGGACCAACCATACTTATAGATCTTAACTTCGAAGAAATTCTGCGGCGAAAACCAAAGGAAATATACAATGTAAAAATCCTTTCAAAGACCTACTGCTATTGGGCAATGACCCCATGTTACTTTACATCAAACTGCGTGACTGGCATTTTCCCCCATCCGTATACACACCGCAGCCTTAGGCCGCAACCGTTTGCCGACCGCCACCTAAGAATAATTAGGTCGTTCTCATTGTCTCCCTATCCCTTTAACCATCGATATTTGAGTCGCTGCTATTATGTCTCGACGTCCGACTCCAGGGCAAGCTGCCCAAAACTCGCAGACTATCAAGACTCTGCTGAAACTTGAGCACAACAAGATATGTGCCGACTGTAAACGGAACAAGCGTGAGTGATCCCCGATCCCCTCCTGGAGATGCGCCCACGCTGGCTTCATCTCCTGGGCTATTTCTTGGCGCTCATATACTGAATTGTCTTCTGAACAGACCCGCGATGGGCTTCCTGGAACCTAGGTGTCTTTGTCTGCATTCGGTGCTCTGGCATTCACCGGGGTATGGGTACGCATATTAGCCGAGTCAAGTCCGTGGATCTCGATGCGTGGACCGATGAACAACTTCAAAGTGTTGTGAGATGGGGCAATGGAAGAGCCAACAAGTTTGTCGCAACCAATTGACCGGCCACGTTGGGCATGGGCTAATAGGATGCAGATACTGGGAAGCGAAACTGGCACCCGGCCACGTTCCCTCCGATGCGTAAGTGCATTCGAATGGCACTCATTGGGTGTTGGTAGTTTCTGACAATACTCGCGAACAGAAAAATCGAGAACTTCATCCGGACAAAGTACGAGAGCAAGCGATGGGTAATGGACGGTGAGATGCCGGACCCCTCGACCCTGGATGACGGCGATGACGATGTGGTGAGTGATCAGATAATAGACCAGCCAGTTAGCAGCACTCACTGACTTGTTAGCCTCTTGCGGTTGTGCAGGAGAAAGCAAAGATTGAACGTTCTGCTTCGCAAAGACTCGCCACTGCCAGTCAGCCCCCGGTACACCGTCAACAAGCCTCGATTGATCTGTTCGGCGACGATATCTCTCCTCCGAATCGCCCTAGCACAACCGACCCTACTCCACGTGCGCCACCTAGACAAGCACAGCCTGCACCAGTCAAGGCTCACAAGCCCAATGATTCATTGTTGGGTCTCGACTTCTTCGGTAGCACCCAGCCTTCTACTGCTAGTCGCCCGTCTAGCACAGCATCCACACCAGCAGCACCGGCCGGAATGTCTCGGCCGGACCTCAAACAGTCAATCTTGTCATTGTACTCAAAGCCGCAGCCGGCACCACCCGTGCAGCACCAGCGGGGCAACTCCTTCGGCGACATGGCCTCGCCTCCTGCCCCCTCCGCTTCGTCTCATATGGGCGGTCTGACGGATGCCTTCAGTGGACTGAGCTTCCCGACTACTACTTCTCCACCCGCCAAACCGGCTGAGAAGCCATCGGCGTTCTCTAATCTCTCATCTTTTGGTGGCGCCAAGTCGACCCCTGCTGCCCCGAAGGTCACATCGCCCTCGGGCTCTGCGAGCGGTAACTTCTTTGATAGTTTTACCTCCCCGACCTTATCAGCCCCAAAGTCCCAGTCCCGAACAGCTTCCGTCTCCTCTACCGGGCAAGATTTCGGATTCGGTGGATTTACTTCCCCGACTGCTAAGCCTAACCCTCCACCATCATCCCTGTCAAATGACTTGTTCGGGTTTTCTTCGCCTCCTGCAAATACCTCCACGGTCTCGCCCCCAAAGCCTACTGCAACCTCCCCTCAACAAGAAATGAAATCTGCGTTTAATATTTCTGCTCCCCCGATCCAGCCAGCTGCTCCTAAAGCGCCAGCCCCCAGCGCTGCAAACGCAGCAGCAGCCAACATGATGTCTGGAAGCCTTGATCCATGGGGCGGGAACGCATGGAGCACACCTGATCCTGCCCCATCACCTAGTTCTGCCGCACTCTCGCCTGCATCCATGATGAAGGTCCCGGATACCTTGACCCCGAACGATGTGGGTCACGGCTGGGGCGCGCCCAGTGCTGCTTCTAAGCCCGCGCCCACTGTAGCAGCGGATGAGGACTTTGGCGGCTGGGCCAGCGCTGCCCCGGTCTCCAACCCCACCTCCACCAGCACCAATAACAAGTCTGGTGGATTTGGCGGATCTGACGACCTCTTCTCCAACGTTTGGGAGTAGAGTATATCTTCTTTGCAACAGGTCCAGATTCCACGCCTATCTTGAGTTTCCAGGATTTGCATGATAACATCTGCGTATCTGCAAGCAGAATTTCATATTATACGTTGCACATACCGGTGTTCATCGTTTTCGAGATCCTTGCCGAGAATTTTTTTTTGTCCTTTCTGCATCTTCCTTTGTCACGACCCCTTAGTCTCTGAAATGTGGGCGGCTTCCAAATGTACGATGGGCGGGTCTCATGCATACTGAATGATCGGCTCGCTTTGTTCGCTTCGGCATATGTACACTTGTCTTTACAATGCATTCATAATACCCTAGAGCTCGTGTTTGAAGACTTTGTAGGTAGCCTTGAGATTAGAAAAGACCCTAGTTTAATAAAGTTATTGCTGTAATCCTAGCCATGTCCTTTCTAGGAGACACATTGGTACAAATTTGCTTTTGAGGTACTTAATACAATTAGTTAGACCATGTTAATCCGCGGCTCTAATGGATCAGTATCAAGCTTTGTATCTCGATAGTTAAGGCAAGCAGTCCTCAAATACTCAATAGCAAAGGCATTATAACTATTCCAGAGACATAGTCTAGTCTATTGCAATTGGGGTATATCATCGCATAAAATCACAGAAAGAACGTAATCAAAAGACCGCCACATAAGGGCCATAGGTATATAAGACAAAAGAGAAGACCACCATCTGAAAAAGAATGAAAAAAAGAGATATATATATAAAGAATGAACCCATTAAACAACCCTAATCATTATAGATCAAAAGCTATGCTTCTTCACCAATTCATTCGTACTTCCCGTATCATCATTAAGAGCAATCTTCGAATGCGAGGTCCTCTCCTGCGTAACATTTGTCGTGACCTTGATGCCCGCAAAGACCTCCTTCGCAGGCTCCTTGGTGTAGCTATTGAGGGATCCAGACGGCGACAGATCTTGCAGATCGTGGTCGTAGCCGGAGCTGTGATCACGTCCGCCGACGACAGAGGCAAGAACTTGCGTGTTGCCGTTGCCTGTGTGTGGATTGCGCCCGATTCGCGAGGGTCGTGTGGTCTTGCTGCGGTAGCCGTTGCTTCGGGTGGAGAAAATGTGTGGCAAGAGCCTGGAGAGGAAAGCGCGTGTGCCTGGGAGACAAGCGCAAATGATTGCTACGTTGCACTCGACGGCGGACCAGGTTGCCGCGCCGACGTTGTCGTCTAGGGTGATTTATTAGATTTGGCTCGTATGTAAGGGAAGGTGGTTGTTGGGTATTGTTGATACTTACAGGTTGGGTCGTCTGAATTGGCGATGACAAGGAGAGATTTGAGGCGGAGTACACTTGTGATCAAGACGCTGGGAGGATGATCAGTATTGTAGATGATTGGCGTTATATGAAGAGCTGGACTTACAATCCACCTAGCGCGAAAACAGCCATGAGAGCGAACTTTTGCTTCCTGGGCAGTTGGAGCGATTTCAAAACTGGCATTGGGTATATGAGAATGACGATATCGGTAATGATGTGGATAGCCGAGTTCGAGAACCACAAGGCTTTCTTATTTAAGCAGAAGCCGGGGACGGTTGGATCCCAGAATTTGGCGAGAGGAACACAGTTAGCCCAGGCGCTAATAATGGTCCAGGTTCCGTAGAAACCTAGAACACCGATCATGATCCAACACGCTAGACGCATGCGTGGCGTGGAGAACACTCGTTTGTATTGAAGAAGGATTGACATCTTTGTGCTGATGAGGCTCGTTTGATATATAGGGACCGAAGCCCAAAAGTACTGTATGAGAATCATGTCAGTGGAAATGCACTGCGTTGGAGAGATGTTCGGGTAAAGTGAAGCGTACGATCATCTGAGCCTTAAAGATTGACGCCGGGACGGCGGTATAGTGCTCGCCCATGCCGTGGTAGACTTCGCCTACCAGCAGACCGAAGAATATCCATGAGAAGGCTAGAGAGACTAGGATGACATAGTCGTCGGCTCCCATCTGCTTTACGAGGAGTGCTCGTGTAAATATACGGACGGCAGTAATGAATGTCGCTATAGTCGTAAACACAATGCTGATAGCGAGGGCTCGGTGGCCGCGGGATGTTGATAGAGTAGTCATTGTGTCATAGGGGCGTATATAAAAGAGCGAAGGCCAAGTTTTGTGCACAGTGTGATTGTGAACAGGAGAGTATTCAATGCGCTGAAAGAGAGATCGCAAAGTTCCTCTGTTGACTTATAGTAGATATAAAAGCGACTCTGTCAATGCTCGAGACGAAGTCTCTCGTGATTACGGAGGAATGGCCCGCTTCTCAATACAAATGTACAAAAGAGGGATGAGAGACTGAAGTATTGCGTGCAAAACAAAATAAGCAGAAAGATGAGAGGAACACGAGATCTTCTCCACCCGGCTTGAAAGGATCAAAGATCACCATTCAGCCACCGAGCGAGAAATGGGGCAATAATACCCGTAGACTATTTAATTTCGATGAGATATTCGTCCCAACAGTGGTTAGCGGGCCCCATTCTTATGTGGCGAAATCGTACAACCGTATATTACTAGAAGAGATAGTCGCCAGGTCCATTGTACATCGGACTCGATACTCCGTACATTCATTGTATATTGTATATTATTGTCAAATATATGCCCTTATATATGCCCTAATATATGCCCATATCCGTGGATGTAGGAATGCAATCACCCTAAAGAGCACATGGTCCCCGCATGACATAAACTTTGTTCTCATAAAAAAACACTCTGATTCGTTGATCTGGCTGCCTGGTCCATGGTACTCTCATGGTCAGGTATCACGGCCTATACACACAATAGGAAGCTCTCCCTTGTTGAGGATTGCATGAGCACTGTAGGTGGATGCGTATACCCCCCCCCACAACGTGGGAATAATTACTTTTTTTGACCCTTGGAAAGGGTCCATTGGTCCAGCCACATGGTCAAATCGACCCGAGATTCACCAGAATCTTCACATTATGTATCCACTTTTCACTTTCCCGTTCGCCTACTATTTGTTCAAGCTTTGATCCATGGTTTAGATGCCGCTGTCGTGTCTGTCTCCGAAATATGAAATCAATAGTGTCAAATAACCCCTATTTAGCTCCTATAAAGACTCAGGTTTATTCGCTTCGAGGGGAGGTGGGGGTCCGTAATCAACCCTATTGTTCCTACGATCTGCACTCACCTCTGCAGCCCAATTTTCTATCTGCACAATCCTAGAGCCCGACAAACTCCAATTTCGGGGAGTTCGGGGATGTCTCTTGATTATCGAAACATTTCAATATTTACTGTCTCAATCACAACCATAATCTCAGTAAAGGCTTTATCTAGTGAAATCGAAGAACCTAAAGGTTGAATGCTGATCTTAACCATATGTCCCCAACCATTTCGAGAAAATGCCCAGTGCACGGTATCGGAGAATTTGGATCAAAACGATACTGGTTTCCGATAATATAACTATACCTAACTAGGTAACGTGTAATAGAGTTATGCAAACCATCCAGGTAGTGTAATCTAGTTATGCAAACCATCCCTAATTATCATCGAAAAGTGGTCTGCACGTTTTATCGACTTGTATCGTACCTCGCAGAGTGATGATAAGCTTGGCCTGTCTACTCCTTACTGTCCTTCCAATTCCTGGCGGAATTTTTTCACTTTCATAGCTACCTATCATCCTTCTAGATGTCATTTGAATATATTTTTCCTTATTCCCATGTCCCTCGACATATCAACTAGAAATTTTTCTAACGAAGTAGCTAGAATACTAACAATAGGGGCAAACGTCTAAAAAGGACATCTGAAGAAGACATTAGACCGTTAACTTCAATAAAACCTTGGATCATCCCTAATTTCGTTAACTTTTTCTATTATGGTGTCCTATATACTATGCGGGATATATTCTTGCCTTAACCTTCGGCCGCAACGCACAGATCTTCATCCCCTGACGCCATGCTCACTGGGCCCATTGTTATCTTCACGAAGACGCACTGTCCAAGCTGTCCAAGCTGTAGGCACGCCAATCACTCTTCTTTTTGAGTGAAGATCTTCGGGTTATGGGTCCTCGACTGTGTTGTTCACCTCCTTGATCTCGGTCGGGCACTCTTATTGCTTCCCGTCTGTACTCTCGATCTACGAACTGAATGATTTATAAGTGACATTCTATTATGTTTTGTGAGTTTTCATACCTGATTATTTGGTCAGGCCGGAGTAAACTACTCATGGAAAAAATGTGTGAACTCCATTGCGGTTTTTCCTTGCAAGTAGATTATAGGATTATCGCTATTTATGTCATGTCATGTCATGTTTAGTGTTTTTTGTGTACGGAAAAAAAAAGCTCTATTACCTGAAACCAGTGTGTAAACAGACTAGTTCTTAGCTCCTTTGTTATTTATTTTTTTTTTTATATTTTTTTTTAACGCATTTGACTTGCGCAGATCATCCGCCGAAATGGTATGTACGGATTAGACCTCTGATTGGGCAGAACATTGAATGTGGATAGCTTTGCGGGGCCGGTGTTCAGAACCTCCCATGCAAAAAAAAGCCATGGATCTTCAACAAGGGTGTACATCGTACAAACGATACAATCCGTCTCAAGTCACGTTTGCTTTATATCCAGACCAATTGGGTCCCCACCAGAATGGCCGATCCCGTGGGCCAAGCCGAGACAACCCACTCAAGGTCCTCCGCACCACGGGTCCGCCTCACCTGCGAAGCCTGTCGCCAGCGCAAAGTGAAATGCGACAAGTCAAGTCCTTGTACAAGCTGCCAGCGACTTGGCCTCGTGTGTGTTCCCGTGGAACGTGCGCGTCTCCCGCGCGGTCGCACGCGAAAACCTGAGCGGGTTGTAGGCTCGGACAAAGAACTATCTGAGCGGGTAGCGAGACTCGAGAAACTTCTGAAAAAAGTCGCCAATGAGCGCGGAGATGGATTACAGGCTGCCCCGACTGTCCCTATGCCTGTATATCCATACATACAGCAGCGGTCGGCAGCAGAGACCAGCAACGCCGGTCCTAATATTCGGCAGGGTCAGAATGACAACTTGCCCGCTACTGGTCAGCCACATCTTCCTCGCCCTTCAACTGCGTATGTTGGGGGTCCATTTTGGGAAGATATCATGCAGCAGGTGAGCTTGTTGAATTCATGATTCGTGGATACGATTTAACTTATGTTACAACCCTAGACCCAAGAATTACGCAGTGTCCTGGAAGGTCGTCTAGAAAATGAAGACCACGCTGTCAAAGACTCAGCATCTGGTTTTGGCACCTCGCTTGTGAGCTCAGAAAGCCCTGAAAGCTCGTCAAACTCACCCCAGGCCAACGGCCGATTAAACCTCAAACCGCAAATCCGGCACAGGTTATGTGACATTTTCTTCCACAACGTTGATCCTCTCTTCAAAATTTTACATCGACCGTCGCTACAAGCATTTATTAAAGATGAGAAGCCTTATCTTGACTATGAGCAGGATCACCAAGCGCCAGCCACCCTTGCTTCGGCTATCTATCTTTGCGCTGTGTGTACTCTTGAGGAAGTGGAATGCCAGTCAACTTTCAACACGAGCAAAAAGGCAATAGTCGCAGAATTCCAGAGAGAAACCGAATTAGCGCTCGCAAAGGCGGACTTTGTCACGACAAACGATCTCACTGTTCTCCAGGCTTATATCATCTCTCTGGTGAGTACGACTACGAGCTTCTCGTCTTTCGCGCTTCTTCATGTTGCCAGAATGTAAGCTAAGCGTTTCTAGCTTGCCGCGAGATCTCAAGACCAAAGCCGAAGAGTGTGGACCATGCTGAGCATGGCACTTCGAGTAGGCCAGGCATTATCTCTCCACATCCCCCAGCCGCCATTCACGGTACGCCCCTTTGAGCACGAGATGCGCAAACGAGCATGGCTAGGAATCGGCCTTCTCGATGTAGCAGCCTCTCTAGACAGGGCATCCGAGCCGATGATGCAATCCGCATGGCTGGATTACAACCAACCGTCGAATATCAACGACGAGGACTTATGGTTCGACATGCCAGGTCCAATCCCAGAACACATAAATGGCACGTTTACCGACATGACCCACACCTTGGTTATCGCAGCGTCAGTGTCTGTGACCCGAACCCTTGCATTTTCAGATCTCACCGAGCCAGCCGTGACTATCTTGAGTTTGCGACAGCAAGCCGTCCACGATTTCCAACAAAAGACATCAAATCTTCTAAGCGGCTGCAGGCCCGATCTGTCGGACTTCCAGTGGTATGCGCGAAAGACAGCGGGTGTGATGGGAAGCTGGCTGCAACTAGCCTCCCTCCGGCCGCTGCAACGAAGCTATAACTTCATCCCCCCGAAAATCCAGGAGAACGCCCTCCTTAAAATCGCAGCTGATAACCTGCTGTGGTCACAAGAGGCATACGACTATCCAGGCGCCAGGTCTTGGCGGTGGTACGTCTCGATGTGGGTTCCGTGGCACGCATTGGCCGTAGCCCTTGCCGAACTCTGCGTCTGCAAAAATCCCGCGGTGATGTCAAAATACTGGACCGTCGTTGACAACGTCTACCAGCGCTCGCGGCTCGTAATCGCAGATTCTCAGCAGGGAATGCTCTGGAAACCTCTGGAGAGGCTCATGTCGCAGGCGAAAACACGAAGAAATGAGCTTCTGGGTGCTGATGTTGATGCTTCTCACCAACCGGTGTGTCAATACTCTTTCGACGGCATTGCGTCTGGGCCTTTCTCGAAACAACCTGAAAATCAACCGGATCTTACGGACTTTTCGCTTGATTTGGAACAGGCCGTTGATGTACCGCAAGACTCGCAGGTCGCAGAAGTGCCGACCTCTTTTACGCCGGTGCCCTGGCCTAATGTGTGGGATGCGATGGATTTGAGTGACCCGACCTTGCAAAGTGGCTCCGATGACACGGCTTGGTTGAGTTATGAGAACTTTATCGAAAATGTTTACGATAGCGTTGATTCTATTTTCTTGCCACGGTGAAGAACATAGCTCGGGGTGCCAGTGAGGAACCTGGATTGTATAGATGTCTAGGCAACTACCATATCCAGCAGTGATGTACATAAATAAATATCCACTCGCGCCACGATCTGTGACTAGACACTTTAAATGAGTTTAATGTAATTAATAAAAATCTCCACTGCGGGCGAGTCTCCCAATACATCAGCCCATATGCTTCTATACGTTATCTCTCTCCCGCCCTTCACACTAAATAGCGCACAAAAGCTGAGAGAGCATAGAGTGATCCAATCCTTTAAATTCCGATGGCGCCGACCTCTGAATGGGAAGAACGCTTTCGGAGGAAACTGAGCTGACCTGTTCACCAATGACCTGTGTGTCGCATTCAGAATATGTGATACCGTCAAGAACACACTGCCACCCAGTATCTATACCATTTGGCTCGCAATCAAGCAGTGTATAGATGCCTGATCCCGTAACCTGGTTAGACTCAGTTGATTGTCGGCCCTTCTAGTTAACCAAAAGGAAATTTCTGGCGTCGGGCATTAATCTTTCCATGAGGTGGATAAAGTGTTGCAGCGCCAAGTTCCCAACTTGACTGAGAAACGCGGTGAGCATCATCATTCGCACCTGAACTTCCGGCGTCTGGGGTCTCTAATAAAGCCTGCGATGTGGATGGCAAGGGAAGCTCGTCGTTGAGAAGACGTTGGTAAGTGCACAGTCTTTCTCTTTGTGTGCATTCCGCACAGGGCATTTCTCCATTACAGGCTTTCCTGAGGCCTGCGCAACTATCACAAGCACGTTTTTGTTTCCCACCGCGCTCCGGCTCGGGGATTGCATGGCCGCTGCCTACACGGGCCTTGCACGATTTCCAATGTCTCCGTAACACATCTCTGGGTACTTTCGTCAGCACACATGACGGGGTGACATATCTTTCTTCGGAAGTGATGGAAGATGACACACCCTCGGCTGAATGTAGAGTCGCAAAATGAACAGAGGTGGCTGTTTATTGTGTGATCTGTTGGAAGTCATTACTGTAGCCTATCCCTCCGAATATGATCGGGAACATACGAGTAAGGGCATGGCGTTTCATATGATCTAATCGCTGAAAATTGGAGGGGCATTCTTTACATTTCCATATCTTTGGCCCTGTTTTGGTCTCCGGTTCCCGTACTTGTTGCTTCATGGGGGGTTGGCGTCGGTTTAATAGAGGGCTCCGAAAAGGTGATCGATAGCCTTGGATGGTGCGGATCTCACAGGTATGATTTGCGTTTGGAAGACGGGCTATGTATAGCCTTCGTGTGGGTGTATCCCGCCAAGACACTCCGGATGAAACCAAAAGTGAATACGCAATCCGAGATTCAAAGTCAGTTGTAGACTTGGCGCGGCTCAAAGTGACGATGATGAGCGAGACTCGGTAATTCAACGTTAGCGATTGGCGAGGGAAAAGGAGAGGTCGGTTGTGGAATTCAGCCCGTCGCGATTCCCCCGCCAATGACGAACACAGGAATTAGGCCTACAATATAGAAAAGGGGGGAGGGTCAAAACAGTCAAATGTTTAAAAAAAATATAAAAAGGGTCAATTGTCGAGATCGTGAACTTATCTCTTAAGTAAATCGGATTCTTAAGACGAAAGGCCAGTGAGAGACGACCAACATCTTGGGTATTAGCCTAAGGCAACCATATCAACCTGAACAGATCTATCAGAAACTTGAAAATATGCCTTCTATTGATCTAGACGAATCAGCCATGGAGAATGGTATGAATGAAGATCATTATAATAACTGGCCCAACGACAAAGGTGTAAGTCAAGTAATGGGCACCTCGAACTATATATACTAATCCCTGCCTAGTTCGATCCTGAATACGAGCAACGTAGGCCCGTCGAGCTCTCTGTGACAGGACATATTCCTGCCTACGCTGCTGGAGTTTTGTACCGTACAGGTCCAGGAAAGAGCCAAGTTGAAGCTGAAAATGGAGAAACACTACGGCTCTCCCACTGGTTCGATGGATTCGGTCAAACCCATCGTTTCCAGATCTGTGCTCCCGATGATCCCAATACTTCACCTCGGATTTTCTACAACTCTCGCTTCTCAACCGACGACCTGATCGAAGAAGCAAGAAAGACAGGATCACTCGACATGGTTGGTTTCGGACAGAAACGCGACCCTTGCAAGAGTGTCTTGGGCAAAGTTCAGACTGAATATGTCCCGCAACCCACTCCATCGAGTAGCAACATATCCGTCACCCTTTCGATCAACGTCCCAGGCCTCGATCCCAAGCCCGAACAGTCGACCTCACGCTGGAGTGATTCTACAGGAGTCCGAACTCTCTACGCGAAGACCGACTACAACGCCTTCAAGAAGCTTGACCCGGAAACCCTGGAGCCCATCGGCCTAGCCACGCAAACCAATCTGCACCCTGAACTTTCGGGCCAACTCTCTGCATCTCATGCTCGATCTGATCCTATCACGGGAGACATGTTCAATTATAATCTCACCCTCGGACCAACCTGTACATACCGCGTCTTCAGGGTCTCGGCTTCAACGGGGGAGACCACAATCCTAGCAACCTTCCCCGCAACACCAGCTTATATTCACTCCCTCCTCATCACTGAGGACCATGTCGTGCTATGTGTGTGGAACGCGCACGTAAACCCACAGCTGCTTGGCTCCTCGTTCATAGATTCAATCTTGCCAACAGACCTAAGTCAGCCAGCAGGGTGGTATGTCATTGACCGTAAGCACGGGAAGGGATTGATCGCCAGATACGAAAGCCCTGCATTCTTCTGCTTCCACACGGTCAATGCTTGGCTCGAACCCTCGAAGGAGAATCCTGCAGAGATGGATATTGTTACAGATGTTGTGAGAGCCGATAGCTCGGAATTTGTGCAATCCCTCTATTACGAGAACTTGATCTCTTCGTTGGATACAGCCAAGGCATTCCAGCAGAAGAGAGATAATTCTTTCCGTACATCCTTTACCCGGTTCCGTCTGCCTGCAGTGCCTTCCACTGCATGCACCGATCCCAAGAAAGCAACAGTCGAATGGTCCGTTTGCAAATCGCTGTCGCCTGAGCTGCCGACTTTGAATTCGAAAATAGTCACTCAGAAACACCGATATGTCTACGCTGTGACCTTCCGTGGAGAGGCAACTCTGACAGATGGTATCATGAAGCTTGATTGTGATACTCAGCAAGTTCAGCTCTGGGCATGTCACGGCCAATCGCCTGGTGAGCCCATTTTCGTCGCTAATCCCGAGGGCACTAGTGAAGATGATGGCGTACTTCTTAGCGTTGTTCTTGACGGGATGCATGGTAAGAGTTATTTGCTCTGCCTCGATGCTCGTAACTTGTCAGAGCTTGGCCGAGCAAATGTCGATGGAGCGATTGGGTTTGGATTCCATGGACAGCATGTTCCGACTCTAGGTGGAATGCCTACGGGTGACTACTAAGCGTCAAGGTCCTTTTCATATATTAATTACTGTCATCCCCCAGATTGATAATTGTTAGATTCCATAGTCTAGTCTTACATTCTTAGCTTTCTCGACTCTTGAATCAGCTTACGTTACACCACGGATTTTGACGTAGACATAGCAACTATTATTATTACACAAATTGATATCGATTTCCAATTATATCGAATCATAAAAGACTTCATTCCCCATCTGGAACATCTGCTAACTTTATACATAGATCCCGGACTGCGCTCTCATTAGTCATATATCTTGGGAGCCAAACCATGCCCTAAGATGACATCAACTCCATACCCATCTTCCTTTTCGCATATATTATTCTTGGACACAACTTATCCCAATTCACCCTCAAAAATGGCACCTCTAGGCGAAAACAACATACAAATCCTCCTAGCAACAATGCAACCAAGCCTAGACCCAACAACCTACGTCTTCCTCACAACCAAATCACCCCTCCACTCATTACCCCTCTCGACACTCCAACCACAACTAATCGTTCAAGAGGAAGAGGGCACAACGATCGTGACAACAGAAGCACTTGCCGCATCGCATGGCTTTAATGAGTCAACTTTTCCCTGCAAGAAGATCTCTCTTACTATTCACTCCAGCCTGGAAGCGGTCGGCTTGATCGCTACCATTACTAACCGGCTGAAGGACCACGGTATTAGTACCAATGTCGTCAGTGGGTATTTCCATGATCATATCTATGTATCCATTGTGAGGGCGGAGGAAGCGATGCGGGTTTTGGGGGAAATAGCTGCCGAGGCGCGTGGATGATGGGGATTGTTGTTGTGGATGTTAAATGCTGCATCTTGTCTATTCTTCGATTGCGAATGTGAAGGGTGTCTAGATTTTTCCTGAATAGGTCTACACACAGTGAAGCAAGAAAAAGCAAGCAAAACAAACAGAAGGCGTGAATTAAAACCCCGAGTCTCAGTATACTAACTAATGAATCTCGAATTTCTATCTTAAGCGACGCCGGAAAAGATCAGACATCAAACCCACCCCATACCCATACCTAGGTAGTAATGCAACTCCACTCTTCGGGGGCCTTTTTGCGAACTTGGGCTTAGATCAAAGCGGCAAGCCATTAAAAACAAAGCAGAAAACAAGAAAACACCGCCAATGTGGTCCTGGCTCTTAGATATTGTACATTTAGACAAGACGGAGGACCCGGGAACCAGAAGGACAGTGGGAACATGAATAATCAGGGTATTAATCGTACAGAGATATTGATTCATGAGAAAAGAAAAAAGAGGCAGTTGCGACACCGGAAAACATGTAATAGGAAATTTAATAGTCTACCTCTTTCTCGATCACCATGATTAACTCGGTAAGCTCCTTGCGCAGCGCACGATTCCGGTCCCAGACTTCGACGATCTTGGGACGTTGGCTGGTGAAGCAGGCTTTCTTCCAGGGAAGACCGCCGTATTTGGACGTCGTCCGGTTCGGCAGGCCTCGGGCGATGTTGCGCAGCACCAAGGCAGCTTTGTAGGCTACCCCGAATGGTTCACCCTTTTCATTGACCGGAGTGTCCATATAGTACCATTTGCGGACGATGCGCTCTTGGAGAACCACACGCTTAGCGGTCGTGGGCTGTGCGTCTGCGGGGCGATCTTCGGGCAGATGCGACGAAACATGACCGGCGACCATGGATGTGTTGGGGCTGGGCCCAGATGCTCGGAACCGTGAACAGTGGTCCCATTGACAGGTGTGGATGGGAGTCTCTGCGGGATCAAGCTTATACTGACCGGGGGTATCTGTGGGTTCCAGGCTCATGTGGTCGCCGAAAACGTGATTCCGGAGATCTGTCGGAGATGTGAATGCACGCTGACACATCTTTGAGGGCTTTGAGTTGTCCGCCCATCTGCAGTAGGAATAAGGGAAGCCCTCAAATGTGTGTGCAGTTTCTAAAGGTCGGATGCCCTTGATAATGAATTTTGTGGCAGTGCCGGGGCCGTTGATGACCTGTGCTTGAGCGTTTGTGAACGTGTTGCTGACATTCTTGATAAATTCTGCAGCGGGAAGAACGCCCCCTCCAGTGACACGGGGATCTGCGAATCGGCTTTGGTAGGCTTGCCACAAAGCGATTTGTGTGATCTCGCATTCGGAATCCTCGATGAAGCAGCAACGCAGCCACTGGGAGCTTCGTTCCGGCTCGGACAGTTCCATGAGCTTTTCCAAAAGCTCTGGGGATACACGAGGTATGTCAGTGGGTGGAGGTGCGACTTTTTCTTCCTGGAGAACGGTTTCCTTTTTGGCTGGTCGTGCTTCATAGGTCAGAAGTGCGACCATGCGAGGAACAAAGACGATTGGGAAATTGAGGACATCCATCAATGTCTCGATATTGTCATGACTGAGTGTGTATTGATACCAGAAGTCCAGTGCACCACTCAGAATATCCTTGTCAAGGTCAAGAAGTGTGTGATAGTACATCTGCTGAAGAGTCGGTCTGGTCAAGGTTTCCATGGCTCGGTTGGCATCCGCATCGTCCAGCTCAGTGCCGAAGTGTGTCAAGGCCCAGAGGGACCGCACGACGTGGGCGCGGTCTGGGGAGTCAAGGCAATTCACCAAAGAAATCCACAACGGATCTTCATGGTCAGTTCGCAAGAACTTGGTGACCTCCTCAGCGATATCTAGTGCGTCATTTTTGATTTCATTCAGCCGAGGTTGATTGGGAGCGTTGATCAAGATAACCAAAAAGTCCCGTAATAGACCATTTGCATAACGTGACACATAGAATGCGTTCTCCTTCAGGAGCACCATGTTTCGCAACACTAAGGTGGCCTCTTTGATGTTTCTCAACCGATGATTGAAGTCGTACGTCTCGAGGCTGTCGTCTGGGAGATTTACTGGGATTTTGCTAATTTTGTCCAGAATATCCCGGGTGCCGTGTAACGAATTGAGTACATTGACACGGTCAATCGGTTTCCGAGGATCATACTGGAATTCCCACTTCACCCCCGTGCAGAGTTGTGTGATGTCAAGTGCTTTCTGCATCAAAGTTTCCGCAAGCAAGGGAAATCCTTCAAACTTGAATTTATCCCATCGTTGATTTGAAATTTGTACCAGGTGGTACAGCGCAAAGTCGACTTCGTCTGGAATACCTGACTGCAGACCGTAGTGGGCACGTTTGTAGATGTGATCCGCTAGAGAAAATAAAACCGTCAGTATTTCTAGTTAATTTATGAATTCATAGAATGCAGGGGAGACCGACTCCTTGGAACCTCGAGGTATCTCAGTGGGAAATAAGGGTCGTGATAATCCAATTGCCGGGGCATTTTCGAAGGGTCACGAAGATGGGAAAAGATGACCGGTCGGTTCCCTGGGGTCGGGACTTCCCTTGTCGACATGGGAACCTGTCGATTGTCTTTTCCTTCCCAGCTATCGACCACGAACTGCGCGCTTTGGGGATTGGCGGCCGGGTTGACGTTCACATGATGGGGACTGGTTGATGGTTGCGGTGATGTGAGCCCATGATGGATGTGTGATCGACGGGCAGGGGTTGTATCGGGGATGAAGGGTTGGTTGATTTTTGGAGCATGGCGTAAGCCCTCTGTGGGTGGTGTTAGTTTAGGTGCCACACCTGTCATCTGAGAGATGGTAATCTTACGTCGCAGCGAGGTGCGAGGGGTAGAGCCAGACATGGTGCTGCCGAAGGAACGCGACAGCGTTGCGCCGTTCACGTTTTCAGACGCACGGGGTGGTTCAGTCCTTGCAACGGAAGAGACCGACAAACTTGACCTCGGGAATTCGAGGGGCAATTGAGAACAAGACCTTCTGGTCTCAAAACCGAAGACTTTGAGTATGTGGCTCGAGGGACGCTGCCCTTGATACGTCTTCGTTTGCAAACGAGTCGAGCAGGAGAAATTGCAGGGGTGTCAAACTTGCGACTTGGTGTGGCTTTTGAGGGGTCGGAGTCCGAAGGCGATGCAACGTTGATTCTGACCGAAAGAGGTGATAGCGACGGCCAGTGGCTATGAGACGGCTTGAGCCGCAGGTTTCGCGCGTTCGAATGTTGGAGCACTGGATGCGACGGTGAAAAGAGCAAAGTGCTCAGCAGCAACGGCAGTTCCAAGGCAGTAGTAAATTTGCGCGTAGGCGATCAAAATCGGCGATAGGTTTCAAAGGTAAAATAATTGTCAATGCCTTGCGGCCCTGGAGGGCTAGAGCTGGGCTTGCGATCAACGGCACTGATCAGCCAAAAGTCCGCGCTTCTCCAGAGCGCGTTATCGGATTATTTGTTGTTCCTATTGATGACTAAAGAAGATCGATCATTGTGGTATGGATGCCTCAGGCTTCTACATTCTTTAAGCGCAAGAACACCATCATACTGGATGATTTATTGATCCTCCATATAAATTGTAAAGAGAGCCGATGCAGAAAAATAGGGAGTTGAACCCATTGATTGGACCATATGTTTACGACACAGCATTGACCGACATATTCTTCAATTTTACAGAGACAATAGTGACAATAGAGACAATAGAGACGATTATCAGTCTCCGGGCCCTGAGGCCCTGAGTATAGAATTTACTCATTTTCAAATTTCTAACGACGCAACAATAATGATCTCAATTTTGATGGATTGGCAGGTCAACAACATAGAGTGCTCCTAGGGGAACAAGTGATGTCTTTTCGAGTCTCAACATGACTACTAAGAGCTTGAAATCTTTTGAAACAAAATTACAAGCCTCAGGCATATTTCAAAATTGCTATATAGGGATTTCTTTGCACTCTGATTCAGGATGCTGATGGGGTGGGCAATGCTAATCAACACTGGGAGTGCTGGATCGAGAGTTCTCACACTCTCCCTCACCCTCTTCCTCACCACGACCATTATTCTACCTAGGTAGACACCACGCTCTTGCGTCGATGAAAATCTTCCGGGCTAGTACTCTTTGTTGATTGCTCTCCCTCTGCAAGATGCAGCATCTGCAGCCACCCATCCCTCCGAGTCCCCAGGTCCTTCGTTTACCCATTGCCAAGTTCTCCCATACAACCACTGCCATCGATCACATCGGTCCACTGACCTGGAATCATGTCCCTGGAAACGGAGACCTGGCTTGCATATTTGAAAAGTTGCTTGATTCCGGCTCTATGCCATCCATGATGATTCAGAAGGTTGTTCGAGGTGATGGCATCCTGGTACAGCCCCACTCACGCATAAAACTTCACAGCCAGTAATGCTGAACATAAGAGTCATCCAATCTAGGAGCAGCTTGATCTCGTATTCTTTAGTCGCATGGCAAGAATGCAGGCCCAGCTGATTCCACCCCCAAAGTCACACTTTGCTGTCGTTGTAAAGTCCCCTTGTCTTGCAGTCAAGTATCCTCATGGTGAAACACATGTGTGTATATTTTATATGACTTCGGGCAGTGATTTCTAACATAAGTACCTTCTGAACCCGCAGATTCGTCGGTTTCAAATCAAGTTCACTACAGAGCGTGACTACTTCCTGGCCTTGACTCTTCTGGGTGAAATCAACTGTCCATTGACAGAAGGCAAGATACCAGTTCCAGCAATACAACGATTCCCTTCAGTATCATCATGGACATCAGGACAGCTGTCTTCCATTGCCCCCAGGTCTACAAACACGGCGTCAACTTCGAGTGGGGGCAATGGAGTCTACTTTTACCCCACGGGAGGGTTAGGATCTGGAGGGACAAGTATGTACTGATTTCTCTGACAACACCTCAACCAGCTATCTCACATTCTTGATTTGGTAGCACCCATTCGAGCATCATCTCCCGCGAGCACTATTTCACACCCTACGTCAAGATTGGGCCCTGTACCAGCTTTCAACCCCCAATGCCAAAGCATGGGACCGGTAGGTTTGTCTCAACCACCGCATGCATCTACTTTCCCACATACGTCAAACAAAGAACCAGATCCACCAAGCTCTCAGCTTTCCACCATATCTGCAATTCATGATGTCGATCAGTTAAACCAGATGCTCCCTCCCAAGAGAGACCTACCTTTCTCAAAGCCAAGCACAAGGAAACCACAAGCTGCAAGCTTGACTCGAACAGCACAGAAGCATCCCCAATCAGCTCTGTCGGCAAGTTCTCAAAACACTGAGCCAACCGATGATCCACAGCCTGATCCACAGCCTGATCCACAACCCCGCGTGGTGGAGCCTAATACTTACTCTGCTTTGCCCGACTCCGATTCACATCTCTTATCCCAAACAAGTGCTTTCCCCGAGGCTAGTCAGCCATTATTACTTTATGAAGACCCTACTGTTTCGCAAGAGATAGCTCCAATCTGCAAATCCGCCGAACAGACACCCCAAGTACCCTGCGTTCAGAACACATCGCATACACAGGATAGTCTAACTAACTCGAACTCTAACGACAACCCGGCTAGCAAGCCAAACAATAAAGCCCCAGGCCAGATAGAAGACCATCTTGCGCAGTATTTGTCTTCACCAACGGCTGAGCGAATTGCCTTTCTTGAGAACTGGATGTGCGAGTTGATCGACGATGACAGCTTCATGACTCTATGCGAGGACGTGGATGGAACATGGAGGCGGTTTGCATTCGGACAAAGGCAGTGAGAGATAAGGGACTGCTATTTTCTTATTCGCTGGAATACTATATCTTATTTACTGAGGTCTACATGGTAATTTTCGGCTCATATTCAGTCTTCCTCGTTCAGCTGTATCGTATGAGCGATCTGGCTTCAGACAAATTTACCAAAGAGCAAATGCAAATCCACGGTCCACTTGAATGTCCAATGAACATAGCATGACAGTCATAGATACTAGGACACGAAGTATAGGCCCACTTGTTCACTTGGCTACTAAAGCATCTCGTGCATCGATTCAAGGCTATCGAGGCCCATTGTGAGGAGATAATGGGCCAGATACTGCCTGTGGGTGATACAGTGGTGCAGTAGTGCAGCTATCAACTACGCTACAGACACAAAGTATTTCCGAAGTCCATTGCTATTTGGGGATGGATCATCGGTGATATCTCCAAATTCGAGACTAGTACCGACGTTGAGAATCTCCCGTGCAGCTTTTTTTCAAGGTTACAAGATCTCACCCAACGTTATAAACTAAAATTTACCTATCATTACCTACTTAGGTACATATGTAGTTATACCCGTAGACCTGAGTCCACATGTGCAAGTCATTATCTAGACTACTGCATTGCAGGCTAACCACCGTATATCCGCAGATGTTACGCAAGAACTATTGACTCAATACGAAGGCTGCAGGACGCCCAATATGTAAATATATCTTTTGAAGATCGAGGTCAATTCTTCAAGCAGATTGAGTGAAATGGGTGGTATTGAGGGTAAAAGAATGCCCTACTACAGTATGGTGGCAAGCGCGAGCACACGAAGGCTGCGCCGCAAGTACCCAACACATGGGAAGATCAAGCGACAAACTGGAAAGGTGAGGCATCGTCGATGTCTTCAACGCGCTCTACCTCTGCATAACTGCCTTTAAGAACATTGACTTTATAGTAGAAAATGCCATCACTCAAGGCAAACATGCTGGGCAGACCCTTCGGAACCAAAACAAAACCCTCGTGTGGCTCGGAACTATATCCAATGGTGTAATGGAGCATGCAACGGGAACATCGATCAAACCGGGTATGTTGCTTACAGCCTTCGTTCAGATACGCAGCAACGTCAGGTTCCATCATAACGACCAGATATTTACCGTCATAGGAGCGGATCTGTGTCTTCCCATCATGTTTGGAAAGCTGAAAACACATCCCATCACTGTATGAGTTGCCACCGAAATATAGCTTGCCTTTGAATTCCCCAGCATCGCCTGTCCAGATACTGTCGCCGTTGATAGGATATAAGGAAAACCATTTATCGGGGTGGTAGAGATCAACTCCGTCAGCGGAGATAGGATTGCTCGTGTCAATGACAGGGTTTAGAATTGACGGGGGAACGGGAGGTCCGGCATCGCCGTAGTCTCCCACTGGGTCGATTTGGACTTTGACGGCATCATTAACGTGGTCCACCCACTGCCCATCTTGAGTTAGGTACTGCGACCCATTGCGGATGTAAAATACGTCTCCATCATAGTCGGAATGGTCGGCGAGAGCGCCGACGTATGTGTGATTATGAATTATCGTCTCCCCATCATCGGAAAGGTAAAACAAAGCACCACGGGCATGGTAATCTCTGCATATCTCGAAGTTGCTGTCATGATGGTGAATAGCAAGATATTGGCCAGTGACGATAAATCTGAATGGCCTGTCAAGCCCTTCATCCTCCATGTTGGATACTTCGATGATAGCAAGGAACTGTCCAGGATCGGCTTAGCTTAACTCGTTGAGGTAGTGAATATATGGGGAAGCCAAAGCAAAAAGAATAGTGGCGTGGCCATAAATATGGTGTCCAAAGAGGGAGACCCTACCCGTACTATCGAGGCTTTCCTCTCAGCCTGGCCCTAGATGGCCCCTGGTAACGTGGCAGGCAGTCTGTAGTGAAACGCCGAGATGCAAGAGAGGATTGTTGAGTGATTCCCAAGGCTACAGTCGCCATGTTTGTTGAGTTTGCATCGATCTAGGAAGTCAAAAGGCAATTCCGACTTCGGGGGCCAGACCTTTTGAAGGGAGATGCTATACATAAAGCACCAAACGTCACGGTCTACATTGTAAATGGCAAGCCATCTCGCGCAGCCTAAAATTTGATGTATATGTTGTCAGCCAGAATTTGTCCTCTCCCTGTCCTATTCACGGCATCCCACTTGTTTTCCACGGCCTCCCACTGGCCTCCCACCGGTATCCCACCCTTCCCAATGAGCCTCACATGGCCTCCCTCCAGCCAGGCCTGGAAACAGCGAGGTGAGAGACACAGCATTTTTTTCCTTGTTGTGAAAATTGTAGAAGAAAAAGGGTGATAATCCAGTATGTCGTTTTTTTTAGGGGAGAACGAACCCGTTCCGCATGATTACATAGTAGTCCTGAGCAATTTCAAGACACCCTATTTATCAGCTGCTTGACGTCATTCCAAGGTTATTAATCATATAAATGTTAGTTAATATCATATAAAAAGGTCGAGGGACATTTTCAAATCTTTCAAAGTTATCACTGATTCCCTGATTCAGGTTTACCATGACGACCACAATGTCCCTCCCGCAGACCTACAAAGCCTTCAGGCGCAGCTCTGGTGACCTACCCAAATCACTTGAATTGGTGGAAGAAAACATACCTTCATCCCTCAATCCCCAAGAAGTAATGGTTCGCATCCATGCCGTGTCCCTTAATTATAGAGATGTGGCAATGATGAATGGGAAATATCCCGTCCCGGTGATTGATAAAGGTATTCCAGCGTCCGATTGCGCCGCAGAGGTCGTTGCAGTTGGATGTGAAGTGAAGTCTTTCAAGATTGGGGACCACGTTACCCCTATTTTCGATTTGAACAACTTCACTGGTACTGAAGATACCACCAGCGTTCTGGGTGGAGATATTGATGGAGTGTTACGCGAATTTGCTGTTTTCGACCAGGAAGTCCTGGTACATTTGCCCGAGCATCTGTCCTGGGAAGAGGTATGCATAATTAAAACTCGTATAACCTATGCCAATGACATACGTATCTATATGCTGATTTTTTTTCTTTAACAGGCTGCGTGTATCACATGTGCGGGAACCACTGCGTGGACTGCATTGGATATGCCTCGATCAAATGGCGCCGCGTTACTCCAAGGTCAATTTCCCTGTCTCATTAACCTTGCTTCAGGCTAATATAGATTGTACTCAAAAGGGACCGGAGGAGTCAGCATGTTTGGTCTCCTTATTTGCTTGGGAGCCGGGATCCGGCCTATCATCACGTCTTCCTCGGACCAGAAGCTAGAGCTTGTCCTGAGTGTAGGCGAGCCAGGAGCTATCGACACTATCAACTACCGAGATCACCCTCAGTGGGATGAGGAGGTGCGTCGTCTCACCAATGGACGAGGCGTAGACGTTGTCGTGGAGAATGTGGGAGTAACTACAGTGGCTCAGAGTCTTTCTTCTCTAGCACGCAGAGGGACCGTTTCCTTAGTTGGCTTCTTAGGAGGATTTGACGTGGCTCGCTTTCCTGATACGATCGGCCCGACACTGTCGAAGAGTGCTACTATCAGGTACGTATCCTATCTTCTTTCATCTCGATAGCCGTAAGGGTTAATGTTTTGACTTTGTGCAGGGGAATTGCTGTTGGTTCCAAGATCGATCAAGAGAACTTGTGTAACTTCCTCGCGGAGAAGGAGATTGGACTGAAGCCCATTCTGGACAGTACGGTTTTCTCTTTCAAGGACTCCCAAGCTGCGTTTGACCACCTCTATGCTGGCAAGCATATGGGTAAGGTTGTGATAAAGATCTGAAAGGATTTTCTGTTCGTCCAGATCGGACAGTCTCAAGAATTTTACTCTGTCAAAAAGTAACAAAGAGATAAGCCCTGAATCGGAAAAGGAAAGCCATCTTCGCGCGGCCTGAAGTTCGATGTAGATGTCATACATAAAATATGTTCCATTCGAGGCTAAATCCCCTCTTCCTAATCGAGACACAACTACAGCATAAGATATTAGAGACAAACTTGAGCCATCGAGAAGCCAAGCCAACGCAAATATTGCAAAACAAAAAACAATTTCTGATGGGACTATTTTGTTGAGACAAAAACCAGAGAATAGAAAAATTAAGCGGAGAAGAAAGGACTTGATCGCGAATCAAACTCAACGTGTGCGACGGTAGATCAACCCAGAGAAGACATTCAAATAACCTTCCTTAGTGAGCATAGTGAAGTCAACAACAACCCGACCTGATCCGCCGTTCGACTGGGTTAACTGAGGAGCAAGATTCTGTTCATTTTCACCTTGGTCATTAGAAAGACCCGGCGGGGGCGTAGACGGCGCATTCTGGCCAACAGAGCCCTCGGCGCCAACAGCAAGATCAGCAAGGTGCTGGAGAGAACGCTGCTCATTGGGACCCATCACAGGCTGCTGGGACTTGGCGAGACCGCCAATCTCAGCTTCCTGTAGCTGGCTCTCCTGGGACTTGATACGGCGCCACTCAAGGAAGATGCGGATCTTGGCGTCCCATTCCGGGGTGCCGAAGATGTTGTCGAACTCGGAACCCTCTGCTGCGCGCTTGGAGCGGCGGTCGAGGATCTCTTCGACTTTTTCGAGGGCAGCCCAGCATTCGTTTGCGTGTTCTGGGAGAACGGTCGCCTCAAGAAGGGTCATTGAAGCGAGGGCTAGACTGTGCAGATCGAAGGGTGATGGGAGGCGGGATTGCATGGTTGACTTGTGCATCTCGTTGATTACCTCCTGTGCGCAGAAGACGATCTCGTATGGGCTATACACGAAGACATGGCGCTTGATGAGCAAACGAACGGTCCAGTAGAGTTGTGCTTGGAGGCTTTCATAAAGTGGGCGAGTGGTAGAGTTCTCCGGTAGCTCGTGAATCTGGAATATGTCTTCCATCTCCGCTAGACGCTCTAGGGATGAAACTAGGTTCGCGCCGATGATACGACCCAGGCCGGAGTTAGTCTGGCAAACATTGTGGTCGACATTAGCCAAAGTGACCATCTCCGAGAGGAATGTTGAGTAAGCTAGCGCGAAAAGAGTCAGTAAACCGGCACAATTATAAAAAAAAGGAAGATCAACATACAGGCAATTCCAATTGTGATTTGACCAACAACCCTTTCATCTTCACGGCCGCCAATCTCATGACCGCCCAGAACGGTAGCATCTGCCACACTGATAGCGTACCACCGGGCCAAGATGACCAAAGACACCCAGTTGCGCCGGGTGAGATTGGCATCCGAGTCGACGTCAGGATCCACAGATCGCTTGTTCTTCAGCTGGCCTTGGCTCTTGGCCAAGTCATATCCGAGCTTGTTAGCCGCCTGAACTAGGCTACCCTTGGGAACACCATCTTTCAGAACGAAATTGTCCGGTCCACGAGTGTCACAGTCAACAATCATCAGCAACAGAGACTGGAGCCAGATAAGGTTGACAGGAGTCGAGTGGACAATCAATGGTTGGCGGGTGTGGAACATGAGGAGATCCTGAGCATTGTCAAAGCCATTGATCTTCTCGAAATTGCCCGCCACGCGAGACATGTCAGTTCGGGTAACACTGTACAACGCATGGCAGAAAATTTCTTGCGCCTCGCGATTGCATTGGTGCAAAAGCTCCAATGTTCGCTCCTTGGTGTGGGGAAGAATCGGCAAAAGGGTGTGAATCTTCTGATAATAACTATAATTCGATGTTAGGTGGGTTTCTCATAATTACGAGGATTAAAAACTGCACGTACGCATCAAGGGCTCCTTCATCCAGAGTCACTGGTGTCATGTCGTCATCACCTTCATGCTTTGGTAGATCCGTCATCTCAAGGCCGCTTGGGATATCATTCTCATGGCCTGTCGGGTTCCAGAACAGATTACCAGGTTTCGGTGCGCTGCCGCTGGCAACGGCTGGGTTGTACGGGTCTGCCGCTGTCTCAGAGGTGTCGAAAGCATTTTGCGATACCCGGGCGTTGAAAGAAGGTTGTGCAAACGAGGAGCTGGGGAGACCTTCGAAAACCGAGTAAGTCCTCTTGCGATTGCCTGAGGTCGATTCCACCGGCGATGCGAAATCCTGGTACCCTCGCGGTAGCGACACCTCGTTCATGGACTGGTATGGCACGTCAGGCTGCACGATCCCTGGTTGCATCTGGTTCTCGAGAGTATGGAGTCGCTCGGCGAGTTCTTTGATATAACTGTGTCTCTGTCAGCGACGGCGATTCTTGTAGTGGCGCACTTGTTTTTTTTTTTTTTCCTACCCTTTACTGGGGCCGCGTTTCATGGGGACGCGACTGAACTGGCACACAACGCCGAGGCGTCTACAGTTGGAGCATGTTTCAAGGCCGGTTTCCGAGCTTGCATCGCATCGAACCTGTAGAAGAAAACGCGTGTTAGCTTGGATGTTCACAATCGCATTCGAGGGGAGTTGTTATCGTACTTTCTTTCGCCGACACTCGTCGCAAGCCCTTGAGATCTTCGATCGTTTGCGCGCACTTTGTTCGCCATAGCTCAGGTCGTGATTCGGGTCGACGCCAACCTGTTGACTCGGAGGGAACTGTAGCATGTGTTGGTGCTGGTGTTGATCCTCCGAAGAGGTTCGACCCATGTCGGCAGCATTGGAGGAGCCCAACACCATAGACTGGCCATGATGAACCCCGTTGTTTGTTTCGCCAAGACCTGGACCAGACGCATCGCGGGAAAGTTCCGCGGACAGCAGTTCATCGGTGGTCATTTGGCGGTTGCCATAATACGAGGGCACGCCCTGCGCCATCTGCGCACCGTTAGGAGACGGGTAAGAGGGCGCCGGAGGCATGTCAGACTGCTCGCGAGAGTTCATTGCACGAGATAAAACCGAAAACCGCTCGGGAAATGATGGGTTGTGGGCAAAGCGGGCCTCCGGGGGATGGAGGGAAGATGGTGTAGGACGCGAAGTGCCAGAGGTGAAGTTTTGACTAAAATTTCGCGGGGGGCATTTCCAAGGGGGCTAGCGCCGAGAGCGCCGCATTAAGCAACAACATTTGTACAGAGGATTCATTGGAATTAGATATTATTTTGAAGCTATATACAGTTGTTTACTTCCCCGAGTCTTTTTTGGATGATCGCACGGAGGACGGCCTTTCGTTTCTGCGTGTCGAACGGATTAATACTATTTCCCCTTCGGCTTCGGATGAACTACCAACGAACTTGCACTTAGATTTTCAACATTCGAGTTAGGGTACCTTGATATACTTGGTGCTCATGCTATCTTTGAGCATGTTGGCTCAATTTAGATCGATGCCACCGGTGTGTCAATTCTCAACAGAGATCATCCATGCAAAGGGTACACCATCGATGTTAGGATACATAGACATGTGCCTGTATTTGTACTAGCGCTCAGTATCTAACGTCCTTGCCACTACTCCAGTATCAATCATCCATGGATACTTTTCAAGCTGGCAAATGACAAATGACATCGGATACTAAGTCAAGGCTTTATATATCCTGATCCGGTTTTTACCTTCCCCGGATCACCTGATCTAGAGTCGCATGATGTCCACGGGTTCCCCCATAGTGCTACTGGTTAAACTGATCGTTTGAGGACCCTGTAGTCGTAGTCTTTGATCTACCCATTCACCCTTTCCCCTTTCCGTGCGGGCCGTATTTTCATTTTTCCTGTGTTGTTATATCTACTGCTCTGTATAATTGAGAGTATTCCACGCCAACTCCATTTGTAGATACCATACATAATATAAATCGAACCCCAGATTGGCCTAACGTTAATGATGATATGGGTTCCAATTACATCATATACAACATATATACTTACGTACTTACAAGCCGTTTAATCAAATGAATCAAGCAAGCACTTCACCCAAGGCAGCCTCAACACTAAGGATATAAAACTGAGAGATGGCGTATGACTCTCTTATACTCCCGTAACTACTCCACATATTAATCTAAGATAATCGAATAATTAGATTGTACGTAAAGTATCCAATCCTCCCGAGTCCACCAGATAGCGATTGGCGGGTAGAGAAGATGCAGATCAGGGCTCCAAACTCTGTCTGCAGGCCGCCCGAAGCAGGAACACTGACGCCATCGGCCCACTTTGGCGCTATGGCATGCATTTGGTATTGTACTTGTATGTATTGGTAACATGGTATTAGTAACTTTGAACATCCCTTGGTCCAGGGCTACGTGGACTCCTTCCACTGGATGCTTTTCCCTTTTCCCTTATTGTTTTATTCTTATCATTTTCCTTTTCAAGTTGATGTCTGCGCCAAGGACCTGTCATACCCTTGGAAGTCACTTTATCAGGCAATACTAACCTATGGGCCATTTGGAAAGTCTTGCAGGGATTATGGAATGTTCTTTTGCCAATGTACCTCCGTAGATCAAGCGCTAGCACCCCTGAAACATTCTCATAATAGATTCAGCCCCAGCAACCAGGATGCCGTAGCACAAAGAAACACAATATTTCCTAAATATATACAGAGAGTAGTATGACTGTCAAGGTCGGGGTGTGCGGCCCCAGATTTTAGATCCATATTTTGCTAGTGGGGTGAGTTTGTCATGGCTAGACTTTGCCAATCTTTTTAACATAATAATAATAATAGGATTTTCCATGCAGTGGCCACGAGTTTGGTTGCCACCATATGTTGTTCCACGTAGTATACATACGGTTGGGGCTGCCAGTTTGGGCAAATTTTTTTTTTTTAAAAAGGTCAAAGTTTAAAAAGGAGAAAAAGGGGGGGGGGGAGAAGAGAAAAAAAGAACTAGTCGACAAAAAAGAAGCAAAACTAAATAAAATTCTCACGATGTGCGTTGGGAAACCCTAAGCAACAATGGTTCCTGTGTGAGTGGAGTTCAAAAAAGGTGGAAGAATTCCAGCCCTGGACGGCTTGTTGTTTTTAGTCAAAGAACCCTTGAAAGCCTTGGAAACATACAATATTTTAGTAATAGTACAGTCATTTACTTTATTTACTACGATTAACCCATTGCGATGTATGCATGTAAACTCATTACACCCAAATCCAGTAAATAAAAGCTGCGTAAATGCAGTAAGAGTACGATAGTTACAACTTGTCCCTATACCTGTACGGTCACCCACTAAGACTAGTAGCGCAACGAAAATCCTCGTCCCATACCCCGTTATTAACGGCTGCTGCCCACCCTCCTCCCTCTCCTCTTTTCTTTTATTCATTGCGTCCAACGTCCTCTTTTATCGATCGCTTTTTATCTTGGCCGCCACTACCGGTACTTGGTGTCCTGTCTAACGGCCGGCGCCAAACGGTGCGTAGGCTTGGTCCCCCTCTCCCCTCTCTCTCTTACTCTCCGATCCCTGACCACACACCCCCTCTACCTCGCGCCTGAGATACCCTTTGGATTTTCGATTTCTTTCTACTTTTTGTTCCAATCGAAGACAGTGCAGTGGCTCTCAACGGCATTTTACACTGCTAGTCCGGCGTTCTGTGAACTCCTCCGCGCATTGGGACCTTCGACTATACGATTGATTATACCCTTTTGTTCATTTTGTTCTACTCGGCCCGAACTCTCACAAGGAGTCCCTGCCAATCGCCTTGACGGCTTGATATCTCGGTCTCTTCAACAGATCTCTTTTATTTCAACACTTCGATTTTCTCCAATATCCCTCGCGAATCATCGCATGTGTACCTCCCAGTAACACCGCAGCGATGCTCATCGATGGTGAAAAGTATGCTTGTGAGGCTTGCGTCCGGGGTCACCGAGTCAGCAGCTGTCATCACAGTGGTACGCCAATCATACGCTCCCGCAATAATGAATATCTATGCTAATTTCCCTTAGACCGCCAATTGACCCACATCAACAAAAAAGGCCGCCCAGTCTCTCAATGTACTCACTGCCGCGGCCTACGCAAGTCTCGGACTACCCACACCCAGTGTGATTGCGGCGAAAAGAAGAAGAAGGAAGACTGCCATACCGGCATTTCGCATGGTCGCTGTGGTTGCTGTCATGGCCAGCGCTGCATTTGCGCACTCAAAAAGGAACATCTAGATACTGTGCCTGAAACTGGTCTTCCCTTCTCTCCGCCCCCGCTTACGATTGAGACCCCGCGGAAACCCCCTCTTACGTCTACCAAATCTGAATCGACGCTCACGATTTTCCGCGACGGTCATCATAAACCCGCCCACAAGCATAATGACATGGCCCACAAATGTGGATTGCCTTATACGATTCCGCGATCGCATACCATCCACCACCCTACCGACTTACCCCGTCGGTCGGTGGATCATTTGCCGCTAGGCCAGTCGACCTTTATCAAGGAACCTCTTACTCTGTCCGAATTTCCTAATTCACAACGAACGTCCCAAAATGGTTCTCCCAACAGCGCGCATGTTTCGGGCGCCGAAGACGATGCGAAACCTGCTCCTCTCGATCACTCGTACCTCGACAATTTCGTTACGCCAGCACCTCCCGCTCCATCATTAGACCGATCCCATGATGCGCTGTCAAACCCGGTCTCTGCCCCTTCAAACATGGACAAATTCCCGCTGGAACAGATTGTCACCAGTGTTCCTCCACTTGACGTCTCTTTCGCCTCCTTCCCGACCACGAGTACCAACTCTCCGACCACCTGCATTGCCTTCCAAGAACCTTACCAAGAATGTTATTTCACCTCTCCAGACTCCGACATGCCCCTGGGGTCTGCTGGCATCGGTGCTCCCTCGGTCGACTGGTCAAGTTTCCCTCTATACTCCGACGTGCCTACTGCAACCAGCACGCAAGCTCCTTCATATGCTAGCTTTGATTACACCGGGTATCCCTCGGGTCTTCCAGCGCCTTCATCATCCGGAGACATCTCCGAGGCTGACGAGTTTGGACCGCTTCCTGGTTTGGGTCATGCTAGCAATGACATGCACGATCTACACAGCGTGAGCGAAGCGTCTGACATGGACCATCTCCGCGTCAGCTCTGCATCCTCATTGGTCGGTTTACCCCAGGCGCGTCTCCTGTCATCCAATGACCTGGACTCGATCAACATCGACGATTTCCTCAAATCGACCAACGAGTCCACCGCTGCGCTCGAGCACCAGCTGCAAGCCAGCATGAGCATAGAGGCGAAACCGGTCCCTGCTCAGGATATCTACAGTATGTCGCAGATACCAGTCTACAAGCCCATGGCTTCGGCCCCGACTCCCAGCGCTCCCTCACCGCCCCCGGACTCCGTTCCTATCTGGGCTAGCGGTCTCTTCAATGCTGATTCCACCCCGCCCATGGATGACAACTTCTTCCAACAATCCTGGGGCCAGTAAGAATCAGTGTTGCTCGTTATTTATCCTTGCTTATATTCTTCTCCTCCCTATACTTCTTTTTGTCCTGGGGCTTGCTCTCTTGCGGCAATCTACCACCACCTCCACACCGTCTTCATGACCATGATGAGAGATGATGATAAATGCCTTATTTGTCTTGTTCCATTAGCCAGTCTAGATTCCTTCCTTGATAGCCATTCAATCTAGAGGGGTTTGCGATTTGGACACTTGCATGTGCCTGTACATTCTTTTGCTTTCTTGCTTCCGTATATGCACTATTCTTCGCTTTGCATTCTCCCTAATGTATAGAATTTTTTTGTCTTGTTCTGGTTTTTTTTTTTTGGTTTTGTTTTTTACATGTACAATGACTCGGGCAGTATTTCTCCATACACTTCCGGACAACGATACCCAAATGCACAGTGCCGATCGCTACAGACCCCGAGACGTGCCTTTGGGTGTCCACCACCCTGTATTTTACTATACAGGCACAGAACACTAGCTGATACACCCCTATGGTATCATTAACCAATGACCTATCAACTAGGTAAAGTGGTTCTATTCCCAAATAAACTACTATGTACTCCGTGTATTCCATCAAGAACACTAGTAACAATCGGAGTCGAAGAAGATCCCGGTCAGGCGGGATATAGCGGTGAGAAAGTCCTGGCTACACACCCACAGCACTCAGCTGCCTCATCAGCAGACTCATAGATTCTTCGGCTTTAAACACTGAAACAAAAATAACAAACAACTTGAATACAGATCTGAGGACCTGTGGAACTGACGAAAATGACCGCTTTCAAGGCCAGAACCGCCTTTCTACCCGTACACGCAAGCTGGATTCCTCGACTTACACCCAAGCGCAGGCGTAATGAGAACTAAGTCTATCTTCATTATCATTCAAGCCAATGATTACACCCTTTACTACGGTTTGCCCCATTAATCTATCCAACTCCCGTCAAGGAATTTAATCACAGAATCCCCCAGTGGCTTATAGTAGTGACGTGAAGATCGACCCGAAAATTTATCAAACGAACATGTCAAGCTCAAGTGGATCGGATAGTGGATCGGGCGATGACCTACGAAATCCGCGGCACAGGATTACTGCATTCCTGAATGGCGATATGAAACATCGAGCCTAAAACAGCGCACCCCGCCTCCCCACAATCTCCCAGGCACCACTCTAGAAGACATAGATACTAAAGAGGATGGCTTCATTGGCATTGAAGAAACGAACCCAGATTTTTCTTCTTTCAAACTCCGCCCAGAAGAGGCTAAAATACTTTAGAAGCCTTTTCTACCTGATCTTCCGATTCTTGAATACGAGCTATTCTGACACAGATAGCCGCGTACGACGCAAACGTGAATAGGTATGTCCGACTCATGCACCGCCGAAGGCTCAGAAGCACCACTGAATTTTATCATATCCTTCGCGGAATTCATCACAACACAATGTTTGCTAGACGGTGGGCCGATCAACTTGAAATCAACCCCAGCAGGGTCCTCCCCCCTCCCAAGTCGATCCTTAAGTACATCCAACCAAGCTAACTGTTACACCGTTGGCACTGCCATTAACACCCGCCGAATCATATAAATGATACCGCCGGCTTTAGCAACGACTCACAGTATCTCCCCTGGATGATATAGTGGCCATTGAAGCCGTGTAAGAACACTCTAGACGCACCGTTTGGCCATCGAGTGTCTATCCAAACTCCCGCATATTGCCATTACCTGTGTCATACGTGACTACGAATCGACATATGAAGTCCTCAAGCCTGCGCCGATGAAAGGTCTCTTGCAAATTACCCAGCGAAGCGAAAATCAAAGCACGAAGGGGGGTTAGGAGAAGATGTATTCGGAAGCTAACCCTAATAAGACAAACTAACTCGAAAAGGAACATTGGAAATTCACAGCCTCAGCTCACATACAATACCAGCAAAAAGAAATTTACATATATAGTATACAGATGTATCACAGTACTCCACCCCCAACATAGAACCAAAGAGCTCGAAGCTCCATATCAGCTATGTACCTAGCGTACATACATGTTACCCCTACCCATCTAGCTAGGGATCCCAACGCAACCACACATATACATGCATGATGTACATTGCATATACCGAGAAACGGGGAATCCCCCTGTATCAACACCAAACTATAGCTAAGCATTAGCCAAGACGGCCCAAGTCAGTGCTTGGGGCACGAGGTAGGTGCGGTGTTCATCCGGAAATGCGGTCTGCAGTGTGACTACTGTATGCTGCACCTTGCTGCACGATTAGGTCTTGTGTGTACGATCTGGAGGTGTGGGCCGAGGTCCTGGCGATACATAGTACCGGTGGCCGGTTACCGAATACACCGCGTAAGGTGCATAACTACATATGTAGATGTATATGTAAGTAGATATGTATGAGTGGGTGGATTTGTTTATGCGCCGTATATACCCGATAATGCCTGGTACTCGAAACCTTCCCCTGTCCGTTTTAATGCTCACCCCTTGCCGCTTTTTGCTTGCTAAAACTGAGCACGTCCCTGAACATTCTGACTTGGTCACTGGTCATTATATAATCAGCGTGATCTGCTCACTGAGCATCACCTGATCATCCCCTGTGCACCCTCATCCACTCACTGATCATCATCTGAGTACTCTGATTTGCTCACTGAGTGCTCACTGGGTGTAGAGATAGTACTTGCTGGATGATATTACTCTGATAGAGGGGTCTTCATGGTAGAACTGGGTGGTGTAAAAGGACGGTAACATGCTGGCAGCCTGGAACAAAGAAATCCACTGGCATGGATGGCCCCGGGGGCCCGCGCCAGCCACGAAATTAGATAATCGAAGAATTAAATAAATTACAGGCTGGCCAGGTGATACTTTCTGTCCCCTGCTTGTCGTACGACTTTCGTCAAGATGACATTGCAGTTTTTGGCGGGGTTAACATTCAACAATGTGTTCCAGGCTGCGAGAGGCCTCGATAACACTGTTCTCAGCGACCGACATGTCCAGGAGACAGATTTACAAGGAAAATGGGTGATCATCTCTGGCTCCAACAATGGTGTTGGACTGGAGGCGGCTAAGTCATTCGCTGGATGGGGAGCAAACCTGATCCTGGCCTGCCGTGATCCTCCGGAGGGACTCGGCGAACTTCATTCCACAGCAGCCGTGAAATGATGCAAGAGTCTTGCCGAGGCAAAGGGTCATAACTCAATAATACAACGGTGGGAGATAGATATGGCAGAGTTCAAAACTGTCGAGGCTTTTGCGAAAGATGGTTGAAGAGTGACCACACTCTAGATATCCTGTGCAACAATGCGGGATCCCCATCTACCGCTAAAACTCGAATGACGAAGGATGGGTTCCAGCTAGTTCACTAAGTCAACTTCTTATCTCCTGTGTTATTTACCCTCCGACTTCTACCCTCTCTAGGGCGCAGCGCGGATCCCCGAATCGTGTGTACCACATCATGCGTCCATCACTTCGGTGTCTTCGATCTAGATCATTTCAATGGTGGCCAAGAAATAAGAGGGAACGATTACCACAACAACAAGCTATATTTGCAGATATGGCTCGCAGAGCTGCAGCTCCGTTGCCTCAAGCACCCGGAGTACTCTCATATCAGAATCAACGGAGTCTATCCCGGTTTTGTCGCTTCGGGAATCTGGCACACAAACGACTTGAAGAGAAATGGCATCTCGATGCGAGCTCTTGTACTCTTCTTACATTATGTCGCTATCACTCCGCAACAGGGTAGTCTGGCAATTACAAATGCGGCAACCAGCCCGGAGTGTGGGCGGACTACTAGTGGTGGAAAAATATCTCAATCGCATTTGGGAAGCGCCGCCACATTCCTATTGTCAAGACTTAGATACACGGTCCAAGTTGTGGATTAAGCTGGATTAGGTCCTCCATCTCTGGGAAAAGGGTCTTCTTGAGGTTCTCGCCCTTTGACCTACTGCTTTGTTACTAGAATAGGATCAAAATGTCTTCAGCTCGACAGTTATCTGACCAGCGGTCAGTTCCACCACAATTGTAACATGTTAATATCTAAATCTCGCAAAGCGGGAACTTTGTCTGTCAACTCGGTGATGATCCCAAGCCAACTTTTTTTACCTTAGTAGTAGCCTCGCTCATGATGTGCGGAAATTTTAGGCTAAAAGCAGAACTTGAAGTGAGCTAGGTAGTCCCTGTCTGAACACGAAGTATAGGAGAATACTCTATACTAGTACCTTTGATATTCATCGTCCGTAAAAAAAGACTGGATGTACCTCCCCTAGACAACTCGTGGGTGATGAATTTATGTATATTTCTACTTGTAGCAAAGTGAGATACTAATATGCAAGATACATAGGCACCAAGACCTGCATCAATGTTGATATGTTTCTTATAGAGCGTCCAAGATCAGTAGACACAAGACCAGGACAAATTGGATTTATGATAACATCGATCCTATGGAGCGATAGGCCTTTTTCAGTCAAGTAGACGAGAGAAGGGTATAGGATTGCCTTACTTTCTATTAGGCCCCACGGCTTTCTCACGGAGTTTCTCTATAGCATAAGTCAACATAAGCTTACTCTTGGCATAGTTAGGAGATAAAGGACTAGATCGCCAATTCTACTTGTTACTAAGATATTATAAAAGGCTCCTATTTTGAGCGGAAATACCAGCCTAGGTAGTGATATCGGGGTCGAGGTAGTCGCGAGAAGTCACAAAGATAAGATGCGGAGGCTTCGGTCTATCCTGATGCTTCATCCAGTCAAGCAGAAGTAGACCCATAAGCGTTGTATTGTCAGACATAGGAGCATTTGGCTTGACCTATCATCCCCACGTAAAAAAAGGAGGACCTCAGTCTACACATAGTCAAATTGCACAGAATAATCTTTCCGCCATATTCTTCGCTCTATTGGAACTTATGCCTAGCCTAAGAAGCCCCCTGAATGCAGGTACCAGTTACGCAGTTGTTTAGTGACAGGGAATCTCACATCTAGTCAGACACCCAGAAGATGTTGAATATGATTTTGACAGCTTGTTTGTCAGTCATCATTTTAAATTTTCAATCTGAAGGCTCGAAAGCCGTATGACTACATTCTACTTGGTATCGAGCGTAGGAATAGACTACCTAGAAAACATAATAATATCGCTAGTACCAGCGCCAAGCCTCACGAGGAAACTTAAAGGATACTACGACGCGAAAGAGGCTTACAATTCTAGAACAGCCATTCAAGTCACCAGTCAAGACCATAGGGCTCTCTGGTGGAGACAAAACCCTTGTCTCCGAAGTCTTTCTAGTCAGGAGTCAAGATAGTAGGTGAAAATTCTATTATCATACAGAGAAATTTTGGTCATATATTAGTTGTGATAGCATGCAATTTCTTTGGTAAAGGTTTCAGCAGTGAGCCATTCGTTCGCTTCAAGAAGTGAAATTAACGCTAGATCGGATCGAGTCCGCTCAGCGCAAGACCACTTTTGAAGACCCTATCAGCGGAATCAGACTGATTAACAATTCTGGTTCGGATTTATAGTACTGTATGACCAACTTCAACCTAGCGCTAGATCCAAATTGGGAATTTCGATGGTCATTGAGGTGGCGTTTCTAGCAGAGACTGCCACATCACAGAGTTGTTACGGTACTATTCATGGGAGTCACTAGAGTCAATATATCATCTGATATAGGCAGTAATTCACAGAACACTAGCTTATTTTAAATATGTTTCGAGAGAACGATTGTGGTTTTGGGGGGGCGTATACTTTGAATCCAGCTGTAGTAACGATGTGCTTTTTATCGAGAGGTACAGCCATTTCTCATCGTAGCCTTCGCAATCGACGACGTCATCAATGATGTACAGTACAAAAGTCATGACGAACACATTGGGTACCCATATGAGCTTCTATAAATACAAGTATCGACTTTTACAAAATTGTATTATACTGTGCCATACTTTGCCTGTCAAGATGTCTGAGACCTACTTTGAAACTCACGCACGATTGACGACTTGGACCGACGAGCTTGAATTCCTCGGCTATATTCTCTGTGAGCTAATCGATGAGGAGGGTTTGAATACGACAGGATATCCATTTCATCAGGCAGCTGATCTGCTGGCTATCATTAAAATTCTCCGTCGTCAATTGAAGAAGCCTGATGGATGCCTCGCTGGAATGATGAATGAAGACGAATTAAAAGTCTTCCGCCGATTGTTGAACAAGTCAAAGAATATTAGGAATTATATGGCACATCATAACATCCGAAATAACGACAGATTAAACGATCTTGAAAACACTAAAGAGATGTTAAGTGATATGCTTGAATTCGCCATTAGGGGAGCAGCCTCGGACCGTGGAATATATCAGGTTCGCTTTGATATTGATACACTTCTTAATTAGCTACTAATATCTTAATAACAAGATTTCTTGGTCACCCTATCGTCATATCTGCAAAACATACGTGGAAACGAAGAGACCACTAACAGTCATGGTTCCGCTTAATACAGAACCACTGCTATCTTTTCGTGACCGAGTCCTACGCGATCATGATATCGACCAAAGACGCGTACTTGACCGACACCCAAAGCGCAAGTCAACTGAAGAAACCCGACGAAAGCAGGAGGATGATTATAAAAGCGCCCTTATCAGAAAACAGCAAAGAAAGGAGCGAGGGCTGGCCATACGCTCCAATCATCAAGCCAAGAAACTTAACAAGATAGAACAAAGATTCATCAAGTCTCAGGAGTTGGGATATGCTCGATTGAACCAAGTCAAAGAGCAGATGAGAGAAGAACAAGAAATATTCTATCGGCAGCGAGCCGAAATTCTTAAAGAAACATTTCACCCAACTGTGGAGAAATTATTTTTCATCACAATTCTTGCACTTAGCTCGCCGCTCTGGCTGACGGTTGTGTTCATCTACAATATATATTGTAGAACCCGAGGCCGCTTTCGTCGTGCATAATGGAATCTACCGAACAGGAATTTGCTGAGGTACACAACCTATTTTATACTTTGGCATGTATTTGCGCATGAAGAACCGTGCGAGCTATATATCAAATATAATTTTCCAGAACCACAAATATTAGCTGAAGAGCACAAGCAACCTTCCCGTACAGAGGATAAAGCTCATACTAGCGCAGATCTTTCATTGATCGGGCCACAGTAGAATGAGGGAAGAGTAATCAACGTTGCTCACTGATTGGACACAAGAGTGTCACTGAGTAGTCTGTGAGCATCGAGCATCGATATGAAATCAGTGACCATACACATGACTGGTCTAAGTTCATCATTCTGAGCTCGTGCTGATACCTACTCTGAGCGTCTGAGTCTGAGCGCCCTCATTAAAGCAGCAGCCCGAATAGGAAGGCCCCAGGGAAGATCCGATATGTGTTGTAGGTACATATGGGTCTCGGGTTGGGGACGGATGTTGTACAATGTATGTGTTGGGGATCAGGAGAGGGCTATCAAGGATCTGGTGGGATGGAGCTACGTTGCTTCTGAAGTCATAGCTTCCGATCATTCAGCCGTATGTTTATGTTTATGTTTATGTTCGTTGTGTTACTTGTTTCTGTTTACCTTTAATGCTCACCGCTTCTTTCTCTTGTGTCACTGTACATGTCAGATCGAGGTATAATATGTATACGGAACACTAGCTACTGTGTTCAGTTATGTATCTACTGAGACAATCCCCTTGTTGGGACCACATCATTACCTGACCATACTCCGTACGGAGTACAAGGATTCGAGTTCGATCTTAGCTCACCGTTTGAACGAAGCATTTACCAAACAAAAGAATTACCGGCCCTGCATACCGTCTAGTTAATTGAATATATTTGCATTATCTTAGTCTGCATATTAGGCTGCGTCATCAAGCTTTTAGATCCATTAGTCTCTTGCCTCATTGCCTTTGGTTCTCTACGTGGGGGGCCGATGGGAAGCAGCGGTTTCCGCCGAACCGGATGGATAAGGTTGCGATGCTTGGTCTCAGGCGCGTGGGATTGAAATACCTGAGGCCCGGCGAGTGGGGGAGTTGGAGGGACAACAGGATACTCAAAGTGATACCAATGTACCCGAGTCCCAGCAGAGTCAGCCTACAGTCGCACTCTGGAGCGATCACCATGGTTTGCTTTGGTTTTTTAGACTTGGAGAGTGAATAGTTATATTCGCACTATCACTATCGGATAGAATTTAGCATTTCATGTCATGTCTTTTACTGATACCATTTGGCTGCCGTATTAGTCTACCTTTGGCCAAACATAAAAGCAAGAACAGGTACAGAAGGATTAAGATACGGGATCTCAGGTGTTCAGAATCAATGAAGCAGGTTTTATTCTCTATAAAGCCAAACCAAGGTACGCAGTACCTAGTCAAACAAAACGAAAGATGCAAATGTGTCCGAGGGAAATGTATACCACTATTCAAAATGCAATGCATAAGTGCCAGCGAAGAGTACCCGAAAATGAGAATCGAAAATAGCAAGCCCGATAGAGTCAGTAGTCTATGAGGTGTCGAGGGCGAAGCAATTCCAGATCCATATCCAAATTCAAATATTCAAAACATTTCGTCGTAGAGGCCACACATATATGGATTCCAATTACCCATCTCGTAAAGACGTGAAAATACAAGCCACAACCAAAAAATAATATATGGTAGCAGCCAATCGCTTGAAGAGCAGGTGACGATGGATGGGCAATTCACATTTACATGGCTTTTTGTGCTTTTGTGCCATGTTCAACGGTACTTGTCCATGAACTCGGAGTGGAACTTGACGATGCGCTCAACCCAGTCGGTACCAGGGGCAAGGAAGGTTGTGCGGAAGTGGAAAGTGTTCTCCTTCTGACCGAAGCCCGAGCCGGGGACGACGCAGACACCGGTGGCGTCCAGCAGGGCCAAGCAGTAGAACTCATCAGCAGCGCGGCCCTCGGCATTGGCGGCTTTGACGGCCTTTGTGGGGAGGTTGATAGTGGGGAAGAGGTACATGGCACCCTGTTGAGATTATTAATAAATGTATAACAATTTGAACGAGTCTATAACACGTACCTGGGGCTCCTGGAGCTCAACACCCTCCATACGCTGGAAGGCATTGAACAAGGAAAGGGCACGCTTGTGCAGACCTTCCGAGATACCGGTGTACTCCTTGTTGTAGAGCTCGAAGCTAGGATCGCCCTCGAGGGGAGGGTTGACCATGCACTCGAGCAGGCACTGTGCGACGACCGGCGGGCACAGGCCAATGCTGACAAGCTTGTAGATCTGCTCCTGGACCAGGGGGTCGAAGCCAGCAAGCTCGAAGTAGCCACCGCGGTGGCCACACTCACCAACCATACCCTTGGAGATACTGTGCAACGAGACCAGCTCGACGTCATCGTATTTGCCGGGCTGCTCCTTCTGGAGCTGGCGCAGGCGCTTCTTGAAGGAGACAAACTCGCCCTTGAAAACGTTGGTTTGGTACACCTCATCAGCGATGACTACCAAGCTCTCCTCGGCGGCGATATCAAGGACCTTCTTGATGTCGTCGGTGCTCAGAGAGGCACCGGTTGGGTTACCCGGGTTGATCACGACAATGGCGCGCACATCGGTGCCGGCGGCCTTGGCGTCCTCAATGGACTTGAGGATCGCGTTGACGTTTGTACCCCATGCCTTCTCCTCCTCGAGGAGGTAAGGAACGCAGCGAGCATTCAGCAGCGTCAAGCTTGCGGTGTAAAGAGGGTACTGAGGGATGGGGACGAGGACGCCGGTACTGGGATCGTTGCAGATGACGTTCAGAATGGTGCTCACACCCGACGAGGCACCACCGGTCAGGAACAGGTCATTAGGGTTGGCAGAGAAGCCATCACGCTTCTCAATGAACTTGGCGACGCTGTCCCGGATACCCGGTGCACCCTGGCTGTGACTGTAGGCACCAACGCTCTGCACATTGGCCAAAAGGGCCTGGGCTCGGTCGATCACATCCTGCTTGTATCCAAATGACTTCTTGAGGACCTCGGGGTTTTCCAACAACAAGGGGTTCTCGACGAGACTGAGGACCTGGCGGAAGAAGGTGATAGGCTTTTGATCGAGCTGTTGGGGGTTACCGATGTTGGCGAAGATGACGCTTTCAAAGGGCAGGGACTTGTCGCCATCAATCAAACGCTGACGGTAGGTCTCGGCTCTGACGGCCAATTCACCGCGCACGGCGTACTTGGCGTCCCTAACATGCTGGTTGATGTTGTCGACGTTTAGGCATTTGCGGGTCTGGACGGCCGACAGGGTGCGCTTGGCGGTATATGAGACGGTGGTTTGAGTCATGATGGGCTCTGGAATAACCCGAAGGAGATCAGTGAGGTTCAGAATGAGGAGACTAGTATCTCCGAAACTGGGAGGAGAATCAAAGTATTTAAAGGCCGGAGTCGTTATTACAACCAAAAATGAGGTGATATGGGAGTAATAACACCGTCTAGTAATGAGCAGAATTCACACCGGAACATTGCGCCCGCAAACTATGTAAGCCGGGGTGATACCCGTCAGTCTCCCACGTACCTGATCGAGCGGAGAGACACCCCGCAGCGCCACGTGCGGCCGGGCGATGTAGGAGGCCATTTGGCCGGCTAGTCAGCGCCCTAAACGGAGAAGCCCGCACGCTCGATGCGAGCTTATATTGCCAGGACATTTTTGGCGAATGGTCAATCAGGGATCAGATTGATTTAGAAAAACGTCCTTTTGGCGCGAACCCCTGTCGTGATTGTCTACGATCGGGAGAAGAAGGGGGAAAAAAATTGGCCCTGGTCATTGGGCGGTGAACCTGTGAGTCAGCATTTCCCCACAATCCGTCCACCCGACGGCCGATTACCCGCGATAAGCATGAAAATAAAGGAGATTGATGTGACTACGAGATTTGGTGATGAGAACTACAGCGTATACACACCTCGGAGGATCTTCATGCATGATAACATGATCGGCGACGATCACTGCCCGAGGGAAAGTCAGACGGTTGCCCGATGTCGACCAATTTTCCGGAGCCGCCCGATGCGGGGATTAAAGAATATGGAGACTTTTAGTCAAGGACTGATCGCTCATGCATGTGTGGCATGTTATAGAATATATGGGGTTAATTCTGGGGTTAAGAACACGGGGTAAATAAGACTATTCATTTAGGTTAAATATTGATCATACGTTGTGGTTTTTGAGGCCGAGAACGACCCTTACCATGCATGGGTGGCATGTTATAGAATCTACGAGGCCAATCCTGGTGTTGAGAGGTAAGTAAGATTGTCCATTCAGGCATACATAGTTGATCATAGGTTGTGGTTTCGAGACCCAAAATGCCTCCAAGGTCATAGATATACCACTCTAGCTTCGCTCACTTCCCCGAAGACGCACAGCTTGGCCATACTTCTGGATCTTGGTGATCAGAGAGTCACCGTGCTTCACAACATCGGCATATTGCTTGTTCTTGTCATCTGGCCGATTCGTCTCGATGATACCATTGACACGGTCGATGGTGCACGCAATACGGTTGTTGGAAATGAACTTAGCAAGGTCGCTGTGGTTATGGTCAGCAAATGATTTTATGTTCGAAGAGATCCAGACAGTACATACCGGTCCAAGTAGTCTATTGTCACACCGAAGTCGTTGGCCATGCCACTTAGCCCCACCACGCGGTAACTCTGCAGAAGCTGTTGGTAGGCGCGCAGTCGCATCTCACGAACAAACCAAGCCCGGTGCTCATGCAGATACCGGTCTTGTGTCAGGAATTGGTCCTCAACGGCGGCGAGTGCCACAAAGAATGAGCGGTAGTTGCCATTGTAGAGACTGGTAACCAGGTTTGCGAGCGGTGCAAAATCGATGGGCACCTCGGTCTCTACTGCCACACCGGAGCCGGTTGAGAAAGAGGAGATGTTGACAGCGGTCTTGGCACCGGCGGGTGTGGGTAGTGACGCCTTTGCATCCTTCATCTCCTCATCCCGGGCACCGGGGCCCGAGGAG